GATCAATTGTACCTATCTTCAAATGAATTAGAGATATAGGTACAATTCAATTATACCTATCTTAATTCATTTGAAGATAGGTACAATTGATTTGAAGATAGGTACAAATGCAATGAGTCGAAGATAGGTATAATTGATTTAAAGATAGGTACAAATGAATTGAATGAATACTTTGTACAGTTCTCCCCGTGTTCAAGTCGCTGTCAGGGGAAGGTTTCATTATTTTCAATAACAGAAAAAGAATTCAACCCAGGAAAAATGAATTAAACCTGTCTTTAACTCTTTTATGGATATGTCTCAATTGTACATATCTTCAAATCAATTGTACCTATCTTCAAGTCAATTGTTTTTATCTTTAATTCAATTAAACCTATCTTGAATTGAATAAACCTATCTTCAATTGAATTGAAGATAGGTATAATTCTAATATTCTATTAAAGATAGGTGTAAATTATTTGAACTTAGGTTTAGTTATTTAGTGATAGGTATACTTATTTACACCTATCTTTAATTCATTTAGACCTATCTTTAATTCAACGGTACCTATCTTTAATTCAGTTGAAGTTGGTGGATGTTAATTGTGATTTGCTACCTAGCAAACTAATTTTTTTAAATTCGTGTCATTGAAAATATCTTTTGTCTTTGCCTTAGATTCTACATATATACATATCGACGACGTCTTATCACCCCAAAAAATATTTTCATTTTTCTTTATTGGATTTATCTTATTTTACTGAAAATAAAAGACTTCGTTGAGTCTGACGTATGTCTTTCATATTTGAATCCTGAAATTTTGTGAAAGACCTTAACGCAATCCATGAAATTAACGTTGGAATACAAATAACGACTTCTACTTCCCTTGATTTTATAGTAATGTACCATTATATCCTGCATATCGGGTTTATGTCCCCCATGCAGCTGTTTTGATACACAATAGCATCCTCTACTCCTTCTAACAATTTCATAAAGGAGATAATAAGCTATTGACAAATCAGATGATATAAGAATATCAACAATATCGTTTAAAATCAACATTCTACATTTGATACAATGAGCTTGTATACAAATCCAATTTGTCCTTAGATCGATTATTGACTAACGCCTTGCATACACATTTTTAAGCCATTATTTAAACAAATTTTACCCAGTCATGACAGGGACATACAGTGGAAAGGGGGTTGCTTACTTATCCATGGCACCTTGTTTTGTCTCTGTTGCTCTAGTACAATTTATATTGTTTTAAGCATTATCACTTTTCTTTTTCATTGAATGCAAGGGAAGTGGGAATTTTTGATTTTGTAAAATGTAATGGTTTTCTGGAGGTACACAAAGTGGTTGGCGGCGGTTCAGTTTGCTCTATAATTTCTTTGCACAGTTCAAACTTTTCAATATGTCTGCTTAAAAGCGGAATTCAAAATGCGTGTGAGAGAGACATTGTCACTTCAATATAAAGAAAGGGGACATAATAATGTGGCTAATCACAGACAAATGTTGCATTATTTCATGACAGGAAATAAAAAGATGTGCTTTCAGTTAAGGATTTTTTTTCAACTTTATACACAACCATTCCCCACGACAAGTCCAGGCTTTTTGATATTATTGACAGATATTGACAGCTGCTTTTTCAATAAAAGGGGAACTCGTAAATTTACTTACCTTGTCATTGGTCATTTGCAAAACTATTATGTTAAAAATATTCTGATTGTATACACAAGTACTCTGAAGTTGAAATAAAAAAGATGCTTGAGTTTCTGATGGACAATATCTATGTGGTTTTTGGAGACCAGGTCTTCCAACAATGTATTGGAATTCCCATGGATCCCAATTACGCCCCGTTATTAGCAGACCTATTTTTGTATTCATATGAAGCAGAATTTGTGAAAAATCTTATGCGTGAAAAGAAGAAAACATTGCTGTGGCCTTTAACTCGACATTAAGATATATCTACGACGTATTTTCAATTATAACAATGCTAATTTCCATTCTTATGCCGATACGATATATCCCGGTGAGCTTGAAATAAAAGATACTACAGAGTCTGACACACCTGTTTCATATTTGGATATTAAAAGACGTTAATGGTAATCTAACAACCAAGCTCTATGATAAACGTGAATATTCAACTTCCCTTACTTATGCAGCAATATACCTTCATCGCCTGCATACGGAGTTTATATATCTCAGTTGATTGGATACGCAAGAACATGCTGTACGTATGAACAATTTTTAAAACGAGGTAAATTATTGACAAACAAGTTGATGAAACAAGGATATTCAGCATCATTTCGTAAGTTCTATGGTCAATATAATGACCTTGTCCGCAAATACAATTTATCATTGAGTTAAATGCTAACTGCATGGCATTTGTCATACTCATTGTTAGTCCATTATTTATACACTGAATTGACGACGGATTTTTCCGTTATTTCCCGATCATGACAAAGATCACACGGCGGGTGTGACCGGTCGGCAAGGGATGCTCACTCCTCCTTTGCACCTGATCCCACCTCCGATGTTTTGGAGGTCTGTTTTTGCTCTGCTCCTATTTTCTATTATTTATGAACTTTTGATCTTGAATACTGTTCGATATCTCCATATGTTTCATTTTAAAGTTTTCTGTAAGTTATCCGTGTATACTTACAACCCCTGAATATCATTTCCCTTATTTTTTATGAAGACCATTGCCGTTAATCAGTCCATGAATGACATAGAGCAACCCGCGTGCATTTTTGAAAATGGCTGTTCCTTCATTTATGCATAAAATGACATATACGTCTATAATACAATATTTAACATATTTAATTTAACTTTGAATTTTTTTTTTCATAAAATGTCTTTGTTTGTTAGAACGGGAATTAAAGTTGCAGCCTTAAATCTGCAGAAAGTATTTCATTGTTTAAATACCCAGTATATCACACAGACTTGTTGCATATTTCATAAAGCGCGCTGGCCTTCGCGCAAGTCTGTTTGATTTAAACAAAATTATTCTCAGTAAACTTAAAGCATTCCTTATATGAATATTTCACATGTTGAAAGTATACTCAATATTTGAAAATCTGGCTGCCCTATATCGTTGCATATTATTAATGTCTCGTAAACTAGGCCCCTGGTAACGCCACTTTAGCGCGAGTTTCTCCGTGTATATAATTCTACGTTTGAGTATACACGAAAATATTTTAAAGTCTTCAAATGCTAGACAACCTCAGTTTTTGAATAAATCAAATTAAACATTTTCATAGAAATGAATATGTCGTTTATTAAAATCACGGTATAAATGTAAACAATATAATGCACAAAAAGGTGATCAGACTCACAAGCTCTGGTTGTAAGTTACGTAAAAGATTATAATATCTGATCCCTCGAAAAAGGAGAACAATAAAGTGCCTTTAAAATAAGACAAACAAAACATTACAAGAAAAAAATTAGCAAAAAGATGGCACATCAAAACAAACTGGGCCACAAAATGTAATATGCATGTCACAACAGTGTAAGATGTGACACGCAGATCTCATCCGTACCATCCTTTACACACGTATTCTCTATGTAAAGTGTAAGAAAGTTAAGGCATTCAAAAACAACATAACAGGGAAAGGGGGTCTATGTTTTACTTTGACGTCACAAACATTTAACGCAATTGTAGTGCAACTTATAAGGGGAAATCAAAATTCACACTTGGCATTGAACAGAAACTAATGCAACAGCGGATTTAAATGTAGTGTATTTCATTTTCAGTCAAGGTGGGAAGTTAAATGTATATATATATATATATATATATATATATATATATATATATATATATATATATATATATATATATATATATATATATATATATATAAGCACTGAAACACTATTTTTTGCCAGATATATGTACTGCGACGGTGTGTACAAACAAACTGAAAAACGCGTTAAATGGTTTTCAAATGAAACATAATGACATAACGAACAGTATTCAAGCTCAAAAATCCATAAAACAATATAATATAGGAGTAGATACAGACCTCTAAAACATCAGAGGTGGGGTCAGGTGCCAAGGAGGAATGAGCATCCCCTGCCGACCGGTCACACCCGCAGAGCTCATTGTCATGACTGGGAAATAATGGAAAATTCCGTTGTCAATTCAGGGTGTAAATAATGGACTAGGAATAATGTGAAGAATGTCAGTCAGCACTTGTTTCATCAACTTGTTTGTCAATAATTTACCTTAAATTTAATTTAATTTAAATTGTGCATAAGTAGAGCATGCTCTTGTGTATCGAATCAACTGAGATATAAAAACTCCGAATGCAGGTGATGAAGGTATATTGCTGCATAAGTAAGGGAAGCTGACGATGGAAAAGTTAAAATTATCACGTTTATCATAGAGCGGGGTTGGTAGATTACCATTAACTTCTTTTTCAAGTAAACTTTCCAAATACGAAACAGTTCTTTCACTCTGTGGTAACTTTTATCTCAAGCTCACTGTGATATATCGTATCGGCATAAGAATAGAAATTACCATTGTTAATTGACAATACGTCGTCGATATATCTAAATGTCGAAAGGCCAAAGCATTCTTTTCACGTATGAAATGTTGGATAAATTCTGCTTCATATGAATACAAACATAGGTCTGCTAATAACGGGGCGCAGTTGGTATTCATGGGAATTCCAATAAATTGTTGGAAAACCATTTCACAGTATAAAAACAGCAAATATTGTATTTGCTGTGTGCGCTAAAGTGAAATTACAAGGAAACTACAGAGACGCTAATAAAAATGCAGCGATATAAGCATATTATAAGACAGCAAGAAAATCAAGTATTATGTAAATTTTTGGTGCTTTTAAACTTGTTAAATGAAAATGAAAGGTTTTTGATTTAATTCTGAATTATTGATGTGTAAATCAAACAGACTTGCACGTAGGCTAGAACGTGTCATGACAAGTCTCTGTGATCTACACACAAATAACTCACTCAAGACTTTAAAAATACTCCTTAAATGTTAATATTTACCTTTTTAGCACGATCTTTCGGACAAGACAATTTTTATCCAGTTACTTCCTGTACCGATGCCAGACTTAAAGATATTCCGCTAGAGCTACTGCAAGCATGTGCTAAAAAAGGCTTCTTCATCCACTGTCTCGCAAAGGTATCCGATGAAATGGGGCTCAGTTGTTTTGACACCATTTGGATAGAAAAAGGTAAGCAAGCTCCAGAAGACATTGTGATTATGGAGTTATTCTGAAATATTTAATGTAATATCAACAGCAATCACTGCAATCGGTAATTAGAAAAAAATATTTTCTAACAAGATGTGTTTGTGAAACACTATGCGCCCGGCGGCAACAAAGTTAGAAAAAAGCTATTTTAGCATATAGGTCAATGTCAAGGTCACCAGGTCATTGACCATGGTGTCATTTGAAAGAACTTGAATAGTAGAATATGCATACCAAATATGAAGTCTCTATCTTGCATGGTTCAAAAGTTATGGCGAAGGTTAAAGTTTGCAGAAAAAAAAATATTTTTAGCATATAGGCCACAGTCAAGGTCACAAGGTCATTGACCTTGGTGTCATTTGAAAAAGCTTAATTAGTAGAGTGTGCATACCAAATATGAAGTCTGTATCTTTCATGGTTCAAAAGTTATGGAGAAGGTTAAAGTTTCTACTTGTATGTATTTCTGTACACAGGATAAATGGATTAAAAAGTTAATGCTATCAATCTACATAGTACTAATTGATGTTAAATGATACTTCCAGGAAAATGTCCTTACTACAACAGTTATCAGGGGAATCTGGACGAGAGGGATTGTATAGGATCTGACTGTGCGACGATGACATACAAATCACTTCTGTCTGTCAACTGTAAGAATATTTACATTATAAACATATAACTTTTATTTTTAATATGACGTTTGTTTTCTTAACAACAACCTCAAAAAGTCAAAAACCAGATTAAGACTTTCAAATATGAAATAATCTATTGATAAAGGTTTACTAGATTTTGAATTTCGTGAATTGATTCAATTTGTAAACAATACATGCACTACATAGCGAAGAAACTTCAAGTTGAATCTAAACATCTTTTTTTTAAATTTCACATGCAAGATAAAGGATGTTACCCAAAGGAACTCGCATCGACAGTGTCAATAACTACAGTGTCAAAAAATACAACTACTGTCATGATCCAAACTACACAACAAAATGCAACAAAAGACAAAATGCGTTCAACAACAAAAGAAGCAGAATCAAACAGAAAAGAAATCATTAGGTAGCTTTTATCATTTATTTGTAAAATGTTAGAGAACTCGAAATGACCATTACAATAAAATATTTATTAAATACGTTTTATTTCTTTTTCAGGTGTTCAGAAGAATCTTTTCTTTCACTGGCAGTCGTATCTATCACCATAAATATTTTGTGCTTTATCGTGATCATTGTTGCACTGGTAAAAAAGACCTGGTATCAACGAAGTAGAATGAACTGCAAAACTCGTAAGATGTCTTTCCATTTTTTTCTGAAAAGGAAAAAAACAGTGATCCATCATTGAGTCCTTTTTGTTTTGTTTTTTCAAGACAATTTTTATTCACATGTTTACTACTACCGATATACATGTACATGATTTCAAAAACAAAATGAAGAATCGGTACAGTTTTTCGGTATATTTAATTTAAAAGTAAAAGTCCAAAAAGATCACAATATTTATTACCGCAAGCGCTTTCGTCTTGTTCGGCTCTTCAGGCAGTTATACAAATGTCAGGTACGTAGATCAGGAAAAGACGAACGAGGCGAAAGCGCTTGCAGTTAATGTGTTGGGATCTTATTAGATTTTACTTTTAAATATACATGTGCATGTATATACTCATTTCCTTGTTGCACACAACTTTTGAAATTTTTGTAATTGAATTAACCATTCAATGTCCACTTAAATTTCGAGACAATTTTACAAAATCAGTTTTGATTGCGACTTTTCAGTTCATCTCTTTCTTGGCCTAGACAAAGCTTCACTTTTGGGGTTACCCGAGTCATCTTATTCTTGCTATAATGTATAAATTATGTTTTTGTCCGTCGTCGTGCTGGGTGCGTCGTTCGTAAACTTTCACATTTTCACAAGGGAAGTATATACCCCGGGTACTTTTCTAGGGTGTGATAAGGCAAAAATTAATAATCTTCTACCTCAAGAAAAGAAAAATATTATGAAGGCTTCCTGACATAATATACATAAAGCTCATTTTCTAGGGATCCGATATACTTCTTCGAAATCATATGTCACTTTTGAATATATATAATATTTCTAATAACCTAAATGAAATTGAATTTTCATACCTATATTGGATTCAGAAAGTTAATAATAATCTTCACAAACAGATACATATAGCGGGTTCCAGTAAATATTCTACCAAGCCTCTTTCTTTACTCCTCACTTAAATATCAACAGCAGTAAAGGAGCAACTTCGAAAATACTGTGCCACAATATATTAGAGAAGTGGTGTAAATCAGAAATGGATACTAAAAATACCAAGGAATTTTTGGAAAATTTGCAATTAAAGTTAAGCAAAATCAAAAACATCGAGAATTACGACTTTTCAACTTTCGAATCCCAGGATTCTTCATCTGAGTGAAAAATTTTCGAGAGGGACGTTAAACAACTATCAATCAATCAGTCTTTTTACAACATTGACAGCTGCATTTTAATCAAAAATGGAACTATTCTATTTACTTATCTTGTCACTGATCAATTGAATTGCAAAATTAGTTTGTTAAAAACATTCTGAATGTGCACACAAGAAATGCAAAGTTAATATTATAGAAAGTCATTCTGATTGTACACACAAGAACTTCAAAGATGATATTAAAAAAGTGCTTGAGTTTCTGATGAAATCCTCCAACAATCTGTAGAAATTTTTATGCCTGTTCTAATACTTATTTTTGAATTAAATATTACAGTATTTCATTTTTTTTCATACTTGTAGTGTACTTTAAAGTGCGTGGACGTCCACCTAAAGGTAAGATTGTTAAAAAAAAATGACTTTCACTTCATAGTTGTACAGAAAGAGGACATTAATATATGGAACGCCATAGCTGCATTATGTGGCTATTTTCATGAGAAGGTGGTGCTTTATTATATTATGCTGTGGTTATTTCATATGAAAGTGGTGCTTTATTATATTATGCTGTGGTTATTTTATATGAAGGTGGTGATTTATTATGCTGTGGTTATTTTATATGAAGGTGGTGATTTATTATATTATACTGTGGTTATTTTATATGAAGGTGGTGATTTATTATGCTGTGGTTATTTTATATGAAGGTGGTGATTTATTATACTGTGGTTATTTTATATGAAGGTGGTGATTTATTATATTATGCTGTGGTTATTTTATATGAAGGTGGTGATTTATTATACTGTGGTTATTTTATATGAAGGTGGTGATTTATTATATTATACTGTGGTTATTTTATATGAAGGTGTTTTATTATGTTATGCTGTGGTTATTTCATGTGAAGGTGCTTTTTTATGTTATGCTGTGCTCATTAATTCTGCACAAAAAGTTAAAATACGCTTAAAAAGAGCGTTTGTGTTTTTTTTTGAAAAAAAAATGGGGTGATAACTGTCGGCACCTTATTAGGTTATTAGGTACCAAAATGAAAAAAAATGAAAATTCTGCAGCCTAATTACACATCCATAAGGCACCAAGTGAAGAGTTTTCCACTACATTATTTGAAATAAGAAAGTTATAGAACCACGTATTCTAGAACATATCATTTTTTCAACACCCATTGCCCCCTGAATTAAACCATAAGCGTCTGAACCGGGGGCTGGGGGGGACTGAATATATATCTGCTTGTATTAATTATTAATATTTTCATGTATTAATTGGATTAAAAATGTATACTTTCTTGGTTCCTAAAACGAAAATAAAACATCCTTAAGCTTTATGTCCACAGTCATGATATATATTCTGTGAAAAATAGTTTTTACTGCCTCCTGTAAAGTACCAAAATTCCATTAATGACCTTTCATTTCCACGGTGTCCATATGTCGTTTTCACTATATATTGTCTCGTTTTCACAAGATAATATTCCGTTTTCACAAGATAATATCTTGTTTTCACAAGATAATAAGTCGTTTTCACAAGATAATATCTCGTTTTCACAAGATAATAAGTCGTTTTCACAAGAAAATATCTCGTTTTCACAAGATTTTAAGTCGTTTTCAGAAGATAATATCTCGTTTTCACAAGATAATATCTCGTTTTCACAAGATAATATCTCGTTTTCACTAGATAATATTCCGTTTTCACAAGATGATATTCCGTTTTCACAAGATAATATCCCGTTTTCACAAGATAATAAGTCGTTTTCACAAGATAATAAGTCGTTTTCACAAGATAATATCTCGTTTTCCCAAGATAATAAGTACATGAATTTTTCACAAGAAAATATCTCGTTTTCACAAGATAAATAAGTCGTTTTCACAAGATAATATCTCGTTTTCACAAGATAATATCTCGTTTTCACAAGATAATAAGTCGTTTTCACAAGATAATAAGTCGTTTTCATGAGATAATTTTTTCCCAGTATCTTCAAAAAAATATTAATGTGTCCTAAATATACCACCGTATAATGCAAACTTTTTGTTGAATTATAATCGGCCGCAGCATCTATTTGTAGTTGTGTTAGAGTGTGCACATGGGGAAATGAGACGTTATTTTTTATAAGTTCAATAAAATAAAATTCTTCAATGACATATAAAAATCATGTGTAAAATATTTTAAAAACTTGCTTTAAACTTAGTATTAACTGTTGTTATTATATTTCAATTATTATGTCTCAGTGGATAATTGATAATTTGTGGTTATATAAAAAGAGGTTACAATAGATACTCCCCAGCCTGGGAGTGTTTAAGATATGAAAGGAAATCGTCATGATGTCATGATTCCGGTGTAAAGTTGAATTTTGACCCGGGTTGAAAATTGACCCGGGGGTCATTTTTCAACGTTGAATACTGAGACCAAAGGTGTTGAATTTAGACCCTAATCCGTTGAAAACTGAGCCGGGTCGTGGAATTTTGATCATGAAACCGGTTCAAAATTCAAGAGCATAAAAACACATATTTATGATTGGGTTTTCACTTCTGTGACTTAATTCATAGGTATGAGGCCCCGTTTTGGTATTTACTGGAAAAAGTAATATCCCCTATTTGAATAAGTGATATCACCTGTTCCAATAGATGATATCACCTATTTGATTTGAATTTGTGATATCACCAATTCGAAAAGTGATATCACTTATTCGAATTGGTGATATCGCCTATTCGATTGGGTGATATCACCTTTTCCCGTCGAACATCTGTATTTTTTTTTTTGCTTACAAATTAATTTATTTCACTTATATATCATTCAAACAACAAGAAAATCGTAGAAAACGCATGAAAACTGGGTGGTCCGAATTTTCTTGGTTCCAGTGGTAATCTATATATTATAGGGATCATTCATTAATGACTGTTGTAAGAAACTCAAATAGGTAATATCACCTTTTCGAATAGGTGATACCACTTATTCAAATAGGTGATAGCACCTAATTAGCTCGAAAAGGTGATATCACCTTTTTTTCTAAGCTATCTGACTTGATCACATGATTAAGTATATAACAGCATAAAGACTTGAGTTACTATTTATAGAATCTGAAATGCATATTGACTTTATGTTTTTTTTTCTTGTGATCATATGCTATATTGCAGGAGTCCTTTTAGAAAATTTCATTAAAGTGAGTGACATAGATCCCCCCTGCCTGGTTTTCTCATAGAACAAGTGTTAAAATGGAGATGATTTTTTGTAAAAACAGAAATAGTATTGATTTCTCAATTAAAGATAATATAGAATATGACTTGATGTTTCTGAAAAAAAAAATTACTACAACTTGTATTAATATTTTTTAATGTTCCGTAATTGATGAGACGTAACAATGCCTTGAAGTCTTTAATTAGGATCTACATGTACTTTATATTAAAACATATTGGATATCTTTGTCAAAAATTGATGCGAGACATAATCAAATAATTAAATCAGCATTCTGAATAACTAAATCCTCTATAATTACTCCACCAATGTATAAAACGAAACACATTTATTTAATATTAAACAGCAACAGCTTAATTTATGCTGATCCCTAGTCTCTAAGTCTCGAAGAGAGAAGACTTGTGCCTTATTCCCAAAATTTTCAAATTTTGTTTTGTCAATTTATGTGATAAAATGATTTATATTCGATAATAATATGAAACTTGACATTCCTATTTAATCGAGTTTACAACCAATTCTAGTTTAATTTGTCATATTTCCCAGAATGCAGTCATGGCAATTATTGAAAAAGAAAAAAAACATCGCATAGGAGAACATAGAGATAAAATTATGTAATAAGATGAGAAGTTTATCAAATAGGAATCGTATTTTTTCGAATAGAAATGGATGCTAGTATGTTTTCGAACAACAACTTTATTGCATATAAACCAAATAATTATCGAATAAAAAAAATTATCGAATAGGAATGACAAAATTAGCGACTAGCAACCGATTGTTTTAAATATTAATGACATCGAATAGGAAAGGCGTGTTTTCGAGAAAAAAAAATATATGTAAATTTTATGATATATGAATCATATTGTCACATTTCCTGTAATTGGAATAGCAATTTATCGAATACAAATTACAAATAATGGAATAGAAATAACAAGTAATCAAATAGGAATCACATTCTATAGAATAAGAATGTTTTAGAATAAATTTTGATATTTTTATACTGAATTTGACTAGATGGGATGTTCCACCCACCTGATCAATATATATAGGGCTACTTTCTAGATTGCAGATTTTTAAGATTTTTGTTTTATGCCCTATTCGTTGTTTTGTAGTTATTTATGGATGCCATGGATTTTGGAAAGTATTGTCAAAAATAAAGTTGACATGCTTGAAGATAACGAAAACCGTGCACTGTTCAAAATGTACATGTATACACGGGGTGATACTGTATGTTTATTTCTATTATTCTTGAAAAGGAAAAAAAAAATGAAACCGAAATATAAATAAAGTGATACTGATAAATCCCGTAAAACAACTTCCCAGCTAAAAAAAATGTTCAAACTTTGAGTTGGGGTCAATATTCAACAGGGTCAATTTTCAACTTGTTGACGTCATCAGGTGTAAGAAAAAAAATATCAAGCTGTTGAAAAATGACCCCGGGTATAAATTCAACGACTTTTGGTCTCAATATTCAACGTTGAAAAATGACCCCGGTTCAATATTCAACGTTGAAAAATGACCCCCGGGTCAATTTTCAACTCGGGTCAATATTCAACGTTACACCGGATAATAATGACGTGGTAAAAAAGCATGGTGAATAAAAATTGAAAAGTTTTTCAACTAGTAAAAAATGCTTTGAATATGCTGTAAATGACACCAAGATATTTTTTCTACATTTTTTCACCGCGGCTTGCAGAATAGCCTACTCTGCAGAAACCATAGGTATTTTCACGTGACCAAGATCTAGGGTATCAGCACGTGATTCATCTTCATTTTGATGACAATAAATCATTCATCAATGTTCATTACCTTTTTTTACATCGATGAATCTATTATCTGTCTATTTTAATCTATTTATGAGCAAAGGTTTTTTATTTTGCTTTGAAGACCGCCTGAAATAAAATTGATTCAACTATTTCACCTTTGAATATCTTGAAGTGCTTTCCTCAGTTGCATGGACGCTTTTAAAATTGTGAAAGAATTTTTTCATGCTTAATTTTGTTTGCGGCTGATTTGATGCTTTGCATTAATTTTAACTTGTTTTTTTAGTAATGATTTTTAACCTAACCATTGTATTTATTCTATTGTGATTTAGACATCGGACAGCAGGAAATGAAAGACCAAAATGGTACGTAAATGGGCTTGGCTTTTTATCTAATTGCAGATGCATGTTAAAATGAAAATTATTCTTTTTGATCGAGTTCAAAAGATGTGACATGACGTTGAATACTCATTATTTTGTAACAGTATAGTAATATGTGTTTTGTATTCATTTATTAGGTCACTTGAGTCTCTCAAATGAGGATACTAGATTCTGTTTTTGTCCGTCAAACACTGTATGTTGTGCGTCGCCAGTTAAACACTTTCAGCTTCTTCTTTGGAACCACTCAACTATTTTCAATCAGTTTTAGTATATATCAATTTCAATGTCCCTATATCCTTAGGACCCGTGGTGTAGGACCAAAACATCTATAAAAATCTTCTTTATTCGTGGACATCATACAAGTAATCAAACTGTTGTCATGATTGTATTTACTAGTAGCACTGAGCCCTTTACCAGTGTTTTAAAATTCCCAAGGGTTCTGTTATTACTCTCAGTAGGTTGAGGCTCTATTAATGATAGAGTGAAGAAGCATAAATTTTTTGATCCACTTTTACACAAAATTCTAACCGTTCACGGTAGCTCAGTCGGTAGAGCGCTCGCTCCGTGATCGGTAGGTCGTGAGTTCGTATCTCGGCCGCGACTGACCCAGTCGATAAAATGGGTAGCAACTGTTCCTTCGCCATGCGCTCGGCACTTTGAAGTAAAAGTTGCGGGTCCTTTGGATGAGACCTTATAAACCGAGGCCCCGTGTCAGCGGCAGGCGTTGGCATGATAAAGATCCCTCACTGCTCCATGGCCCTGAGTGCCGAGTAAAGGTCAAAATTTGAGCCCTTCACCGGCATACCGTGACGTCTCCATATGAGTGAAAAATTCTCGAGAGGGACGTTAAACAATATGCAATCAATCAATCACAAAATTCCAAACTTTTACTTTGACCACTTTTGAACAGTAGATACAATGACGCTGAAATAAAATGTTGATAATTGTCGGCACCTTATTAGGTTATTAGGTACCAACATGAAAATGAAAATTCCGCAGCCTTATCACACATCCATAAGGCACCAAGTGAAGATTTTTCCACTACATTATTTGAAATAAGAAAGTTATAGAACCAAGTATTCTAGGACATATCATTTTTTTTCAACACCCATTGCCCCCTGATTAAAACCATAGTCGTCTGAACTGGGGTGCTGGGAGGACTGAACCCCCCCCACTTTTTTGCAAATATATACATAATATAGGCATTGAAAATTGGGATTTACCTTTTTTGTTGGTTTAGCCCCCCCCCCCTTCAATTTGCTTCTGACGCCTATGAAAACAAATTCAAAAGATGAATTGGCTACTATTTAAAATTGTACGACAGATAGATTGACCAGGAATACATAAGTATATGTCTGAACATCCTTTAGAAAATGTTGGTATATCAATGCATTTAAACAAGTCATCTGCAGAATTTTGTCTCTTTTGAAACTTTTATTTTATTCAAGACCTTACTTAATAAACAGTATTTCCGTTTTGCATATAAGCCATGAGAAAATGGTTAACGCAATTGAGCAAATAATGAAATTAAATCACTCAGTTCTAAATTAAAAAGGTTAAAAAGACTACAAGAAATGTTTATAATGCAAACTTTTTGTTGAATTATTGTCCCCCGCTTGAAAAGTGGGGGATATTAATTTAGGTTTGCCCGTCCGTCTTTCTGTCTGTCTGTAACGCTTTCGTTTCCACACGATATCTCGAGAAACCCTTTGAGCTTTTGAATTGAAATTTTGCATAGCAACTCCCTATGGACTGAAGAAGACCCCTATCGATTTTGAGGTCAAAAGGTCAAAGGTCAAGGTCATAAATAAGCAAATTCTGTCTGTTATAACACTTTCGTTTCCACACGATATCTCTAGAACCATTTGAGCTATCGCAACGAAATTATACATAACAACTCCCTGTGACCTAATAAAGACCCCTATTGATTTTGAGGTCAAAAGGTCAAAATTCAACGTCGTAAATTTATACATTGTGTCTGTGTGTAACACTATCATTTCCGGGCGATATTTCAAGAAGATTTTGAGCTTATGCAATGTAATTTTATACCAAAACTCCCTAGGACCTCTCTCACCCCTCTCAAAGTGCCCCGCCCCGTTTGTTGTCCCCCGCTTGAAAAGTGGGGGATATTAATTTGGGTTTGTCCGTCCGTCCGTCCGTCCGTCTTTCTGTCTGTCTGTAACGCTTTCGTTTCCACACGATATCTCGAGAACCCTTTGAGCTTTTGCAATGAAATTTAGCATAGCAACTCCCTGTGGCTTAAGGAAGACCCCTATTGATTTTGAGGTCAAAAGGTCAAAGGTCAAGGTCATATATAAGCAAATTCTGTCTGTTATAACACTTTCGTTTCCACACGATATCTCGAGAACTATTTGAGCTATTGCAATGAAATTTTAAATAACAACTCCCTGTAGCATAATAAAGACCCCTATTGATTTTGAGATCAAAAGGTCAAAGTTCAAGGTCGTAAATCTATACATTCTGTCTGTGTGTAACACTATCATTTCCGGGCGATATTTAAAGAAGATTTTGAGCTTATGCAATGTAATTTTATACTAAAACTCCCTAGGACCTCTCTCATCCCTCTCAAAGTGCCCCGCCCCGTTTGTTTGATTAGTATTTATAGTATTACATGTCGCTATTTTTAGCACAGGGGCATGCGGAGAGTTATTGCGTATAAAACAGGTTCTCGGCGGACTTTATGTTCTTATTACATCTATTAGAACTGTTTAATAAAGGCTAAATAAATCAAACACCATGGATTGTGTAAAATTTTGACAATACCGAACATTAATATATACATGTATGTGACTTGACTTCTCCATATACTTGATATCATTTATAGCGATTCCGTGGTCTAGGGGTATGTCTCTCGCTTCACATGTGAGATGTCCCGGGATCGAGTCTCGGGCGATCCCTTTTTTTTTTTTTTTTTTTTTTTTTAAACTTTTCTTTTTTTTTAAATGATAGTATTAAGCATGTGAAAAGAATAATTTATGAGGTTATAAAATAATCATTACAGTGTGATAGATATTCCATATCAAAAGAATCTTCTATACACATAATAAAGAATAAGCAATCAAATCTTTATACGCATAATGACATACATGTATTTTATTTGCTTCAGTATATATGTATACATTTAATAATTCTACAAATTCAGTCAGGGGATCCGACTTTTTCCCTAAGCGGGGGACACGAATTCTCTGAATTAGCTTGTTTTATTAGTATTTATAGTATTACATGTCGCTATTTTTAGCGCAGGGGCGTGAGGAGAGCTATTGCGTATAAAACAGGTTCTCGGCGGACTTTATGTTCCTATTACAATTATTAGAACTGTTTAATAAAGGCTAAATAAATCAAACACCATGGATTGTGTAAAATTTTGAGAATACCGAACATGAATATATATATGTATGTGACTTCAGTTCTGCATATACTTGATTTCATGGAAAGCGATTCCGTGGTCCAGTGGTATGTCTCTCGCTTCATATGTGAGAGGTCCCGGGATAGTATTCAGCATGTGAAATGAAAAAATTACGAGGTTATAAAATCATCATTACAGTGTGATGAATATTCCATATAAAAAGAATCTTCTATATAATAAAGAATAAGCAATCAAATCTTTATATGCATATTGACATACATGTATTTTATCAGTATACATGTATACATTTAATAATTCTACAAATTCAGTCAGGGGGGTCCGACTTTTTCCCTAAGCGGGGGAACGAATTCTCTGAATTAGCTTGTTTTTTATAGTAATGATTTTTAACCTAACCATTGTATTTACTCTATTGTAATTTAGACATCGGACAGCAGGAAATGAAAGACCAAAACGGTACGTAAATAGGCTTTTAATCTAATTGCAGATGCATGTTAAAATGAAAATTATTCTTTTTGATCGAGTTCAAAAGATGGGGCATGACGTTGAATACTCATTATTTTGTAACAGTATAGTAATATGTGTTTTGTATTCATTTAATATTAGGTCACTTGAGTCTCTCAAGTGAGGATACTAGATTCTGTTTTTGTCCGTCAAACACTGTATGTTGTGCGTCGCCAGTTAAACACTTTCAGCTTCTTCTTTGGAACCATTCAACTATTTTCAATCAGTTTTAGTATATATCAATTTCAATGTCCCTATATCCTTAGGACCCGTGGTGTAGGACCAAAACATCTATAAAAATCTTCTTTATTCGTAGACATCATACAAGTAATCAAACTGTTGTCATGATTGTATTTACTAGTAGCACTGAGCCCTTTACCAGTGTTTTAAAATTCCCAAGGGTTCTGTTATTACTCTCAGTAGGTTGAGGCTCTATTAATGATAGAGTGAAGAAGCATAAATTTTTTGATCCACTTTTACACAAAATTCCAAACTTTTACTTTGACCTTAACTTTTGAACAGTAGATACAAGGACTTTCATATTTCACATATGTATTCTTTGTGGCAAGACCTTTTATTGGATACCTACAACTTCGACCTTGACCTTGGATATATTCCTTACTTATGGAAAAACTTTAAACTTGGTCATAACTTTTGAACGGTAAGGGCTAGGACTTTCATACTTCACAAATTTAATTATTGTGATAAGACCTTTGATTGGATACCAAGAACTTTGCCCCTTTGACCTTTGAGTTTGACCTACTTTTAAAAAACAAATCTTGGCCATATTTTTGAAGGGTTAGAGCTGGGGCTTTCACACCTCACATATGTAATACTTGTGACAAGACCTTTCTTAAGAAACCAACAACTTTGACCCTTTCACCTTGGAGTTCGACCTACTTTTCAAAACTTATCCTTGGCCATATCTTTTGAAAAGGTTGTGCTAGGACTTTCATATTTCACAATCATGTTTCTTGTGAGAATACCCTACTTTGGTAATCTCTGTTGAGATTCTGCTAGGCTAGATATTTGGATTGACACCGTCGCAGAATCTCTGAACAACAATTAATAATTCACGTCTGGAAATTAGGCCCCAACTTCGGCCGACTATAGCAAGAATTATTCACCTAGACCACACTGCCATTCGCTTCAATTAAGTCATTTAGTTGTTTATTTGACTCTCTGTCAAGTGCTATTATTTCTACATAACTTACCGTTTAGGCATGTAAATCCCAACATGAAAATATTCATTGAAATCTGCATTTAAAATATGGCTCCCCTGACGAAATTGTTTACCTCCTCGAATAAAGAAGTTCCTATAGTCTGTTCTTACCCTATGTGATTCTGAACCAAGTCTACTGTGGCTATTGAAATCACATAGGGTAAAAACAGACTATAGGAACTCTTTTATTCGAGGAGGTAAACAATTTCGTCAGGGGGGCCATAGGTATTTTAAACGCAGATTTCAGTGAATATTTTCATGTTGGGATTTACCACTGTATAAAAAGTGCTAATCGAAAATCTACTTGATTTGGGTCACTTGCTATATTGCTTTGGGTACTCTGATGCATTATGGATAAAAAAGAAAATTCTGCAGGCAAAATATGGGTAAAAGTTACTTTAAGAAGTTAGAAAACTTATTAAACCTTTATAGAATCAATGTAAATTTATTTGAGAAAATTTTTAAGTTGAAACAAGTTAGAAATTCGATACCATTCTCATTTACTAAGTTAAAATGGGATTTTTGCTCATTTTGCATTATTTCAATTGTTCTTAATTTTTTCAAACTATATTCTGTTGTAAAAGTTAGTGTATCTTAGTTTTTGCCTCAATTCACCCACGAAACATCATCTGATTTCTATAAATTACGCTTTTTAGAGAAATTTGGCTATTCTTGTTTTGAGTGAATGCTATACTATGTTTGCAACGTGTTTTTGCGATGGCTATACTTTTTTCGGATCCTTTTTGTGATTTGCATGAAATTAAGATTTATTGTTTTTTTTGTTAAAATTATCGCGATTTAAACAGTTTTGAAAAAGGTATTGGCATTTATTATCACAAGAGAAAATTTATCAGTCGAAAGAAGTGAAACAGAAATAAATAGATATAGAATTTGATGAAATGTGCTATCATTGCTGGTGTTTGTGCGATACTTGATTTGCGTTTTGTCACGATTGATACAGAAATGATATGATTTATTTGAGTAGAATAATTCTTGAAGAATGAAGCCGTATATAGTGGGAGTACAATGTATAATCCAAAGACACTGTCTCGAGTTTATGTCATTAAATACTTAGTAAGTTATTGATAAATACACGTAATATATTTTTACTTATGTTTTAAAGGTATGTAAAACGGAAAAAAGGGCTTCACAAACTAATCGAATTTTTTCCAAAGCTCATGATAGGCGTAAGACTGAATGCGTTAACCACAATATGCTACGGTGTCTTCTTGTTGTTTGTGTGTCAGTTTGCTTAAAAAGAAACGAATTTGTTGAGACAAATAAGGTTTTTCAACCTGTCCTTTAATTTATCTTGGTTCGTTTTTTTTTTTTGGCTTACTTCTCTCACCCAACAGTTAGACTTTTGTTTTTAAACTAAATTTGATTACGAAATGTTCCATTCACTTGATCAATACATAGGGCTCACAGCGTGTGTGACCGATCAACAAGGGATGCTTACTCCTCTAGGTACCGTTCTAATCTCTGGATCTCTGGTATTCCGGGGGGGGGGGGGGGGGGGGGGGGGGTTCTGTATTTATGCCCTGCCCACATGTTCGTATTGTTTGCATATTTTTCGACATAAATCAATGCTCATTAGTCTCACTTTTTTTCATTTCAGAAATATTCAACTTTTAGATAGAATGGGTTCAGACGCCATTAAAAAAACACAATGCATTTACTAGAATACCTGGTCCGTTCATATTCAAAAATAAATCTTTATAGCTAGAATCATTTAATATAAACGTGCCCATTTTCGACTAAATAAGTCTAAAAACAATTTTCAATCAATATGCCTTTCAGGACAATATATGAATCTAATATGTTGAAGATGATATTACCGACAACATAATTTTAGAAAAATAAAACTTTTCCGTCATAGAGCGGGTGATTGTCCTCGCCTTGTACACCTTTTTTCTCTCTTTTATAAATCTATGATAAAGAAATTATAATGCAACTTATGTAATATTTCACCTATTTTCACACTATCATCAGACATCAGAACTTAAAACTAAGAATCTGAAACAGAATCTATGAATGTAAAAGTAAATTAAAATTTGGCATTATATCCCCATAGACAGATCCAAAAAAGCGGATAAAGGTTAGGGGATCAAGACCTGATAATTTTTTCAAATTCACTAAAATTTAAGAATATTAAAGAAACCATATCAAAATAACTCCCCCCCCCCTCCTTCCCAAGAAACGCAAACTCTTAACAGTCAGTCTACGATAAAAGAATATAGTTACCGAAGTTCACTGATTTTCAGGGATATGTTATGATTTCTATGAAAAAAGATCCATGCATTTCTTTGAGAAATGTGGTAACTATTTGTTTTCTTTTTATTACATGCAATCTCTTCTTAACGCTTATTTGGCTGAATTGAAATTAGTAAATGAACGAAGCGGCATGAAGATTTGAAGTTGAATGCGTTCTAATTACTAGTAATCATTTTTCCTATTAAAACATTTAAATGAATATTAGTATATTATAATTCACTATATATTTACAAAACCATGTGTGTATATAAAATCTAAGAGTTGAAATCGATCTTTAAAAATTTTACAATATTACATGTTTATTGGTAAGCAACATGAAAATTCTTAACTTGGTATGTTCTTGTTGATGAATGAATGTCGTAAGTTGATAGGAAAAATGAGAATATATATGGAAGAATGTAGCTTGTCCACCAATTAAGCCGACCCCATCCCTAACCATGAAATAGGATTTTTGTGTTGGGATCTTTTAGTGTTATGGACAACAATGTAACCCCCTCCCGTTTCCCGAAGAAATTTATGCTTGAGAAAAATCCTTTATTCCGGAATGAAAAAATGGAACTAAACCTATAAATTAACGAAATAAAAACGTCATTACAGTTGCTTCCATTAGAAATTAAAAAAGATACTGTCACGAAAGGTTCAAAATGTTATAGATAGGGGTATAATTTATTTTATTAAAAGAAAAAGTAACGTCAGGTGCCTGTGTGTTTGTACTCTCTTAAGTAACTTACCAAGAGGCCACACTACTTTTTCTAAAATTTATATAAATACATACCAGGTATGTATCACACTCACCGATTGAGCATAAAATGCTCAAGGTGAGCATATGACACATGAACCTCCTACGGACTGGGCCATTGTTGAAATGTAAGGGGAGTCTTGGGAAGAAAATATTGTACAGTACTGTTGTAAACACAAAGTAACGTCAATAAATTATTTTACTAATTGCACCAGGCCTAAATGCTATATGTATACTCGAAAAAAGTATAGCTGTCATGACAACAAAGATAGCTTTCTGGATATTTTCTACGCAAACATAATATAGCTCTGGAAAAGTTGGGTAGGTGCATATTTGATGTAATTGCCAGGTTATAAAGAAGACCTTGTGGTCGAATTTGATAGCTTACGTTTGATAAAGATTCATATTAAACATTACAATAAATGTTTTATTGAAATAATGTCAACAGTCCATTCCAGAGGATGATTAGTCGAAAAATGACCATTAGATGGGTGAAAAACTAGTGCTTCCGATGTTTATGGAGGGGTAGACTAAACAAAAATATGATTATCTTTAAATATACCAAGAAGAAGTCTCATATTGTTTGAAGTAGTTTTATTTTCAGTAAGAAAACGTATATAAAAGCACATTTTTTGTCTAAATGTGCAGACAGAAACTTCGAAGGACCCAAACAAATATAGCTAGTGATCCAAATCAAGTAGATTTTCGATTAGCACTTTGTATACAGTGTTTACATGCTTAAACGGTAAGCTATATATGTAGAAATAATAGTGTCAGAGAGTCAAATAAACAACTAAATGACTTAAATGAAGCGAACGACAGTGTGGTCTAGGTGAATAATTCTTGCTAAAGTCGGCCGAAGTTGGGGCCTAATTTCCAGACGTGAATTATTAATTGTTGTCCAGAGATTCTGCAATGGCGTCAGTCCAAATATCTAGCCTACTAGGCTAGCAGAATCTCAACAGGGATTACCTACTTTGGGTACCAGTATATTCAATTTGCATTTAAGAAAAGTTTAATTTTCGCTATGTTGCCATATGGGAGCATCATTCAGTGTTTCACAAACAAATCTTTTCCTTTTGACTGAGAAGAGATAGGGCTTTCACATTTGACATGTGCATTACCTGTGACAAGATATTTCCAAGCATGTTATGATTTCTGACCCCTTGACCTTCACGACTGACCTTATTTTTAAAAAAAAAATCAACTTCGGTGATAATTTCTAAATGACATATGATTAGGCATTCATATTTGACACAATAAAGACATCTCATCCACAAAGACAACGAAAGCGGGGGACCTGACAATTCTTTGAATTTGTTCGTTCAAGTTTATACCAGTAGTTAAATTATTGTTACTTTATAACTATTTAGTAAAACGTACCGTTCCACGAATCCTTTACAAGTTTTACTCAGATGATCGTTAAGACCCTTGGGCCTCTTATTGATACTCGTGCCACGGTTTTTCTTTCATTGAAGGTGTTGCTGATGACAATATTGACGCTGAAACGCCTTTAAATCAAGAAGATACCTGTTCTGGTGAAAGGAAACCTGTAGAAAGAAACCTGTAAAAAAACTGTAAAAGAATAATTTACATAGTTATTTTAAAATGTCTGATATATTGTTCGGGCTATGAACTCTTCTGCTAAGTATGATACAATCTCGATCATTATGTCAAAAGTTTTTCAGATATGATTATTCATTGGCATATAAACTGCATGCTTAATTATATACTTCAGTGTATGGATCATGAAACCTGGGAAGCATGGAAAAGTTTTTAATTTATAATTTATTACTGTCGTTTTTATGGAAGGTAAAGAAGGTACATGACAGTCAAACTTTGACAGATGCAATACTTGTATGTTACACATACCTTTTTACTGTCGCATCGCAACGGAGTTGGAGAGGAAATAGTATAATTTAACGTGTTTGCATGTATCTGTGTGTGCGTTAGTTTGTGTGTGTGTGTGTGTGTTAGTTAGGGTGTGTGTGTGTGTGTGTTAGTCTGTGCGAAACGGAAGTGACGTAATTTGCATCATCGGCATCGATGTCGAATGCTGCCTTGATATACTCAGTATAGATATGCTCTTTGTAATGGGATGCCCCGCTTTGCGGTGTACTTGTTTCAACAATTTTTGAATTCAGTGAGAGAGAAGCACGAAAGTTGTCAACCCAAAAGTATTTTAAAGTGTTGATGTAACCCATATTAGCAATCCCTTAACACTCCCTGCTTTGCTATTATGTTGATGTGGCCTTACATACTTTTTCATTTTATTGATATTCATATTCATTGATATTCGTTGTAAAATATTTTTAACTTAATTCATGGCACAGTGAAGTCCAAAATTATTAGAAGTAATGAACCATAATATTGTAAGCTTGTGATTATCAAACTGTAGGTCATGTTGCACAACATTTTTTATGTTATGACTATTTATTGCCATGTCCTTATTTCTATTTTAAATATTACTTGATACCGGTATTGTGGGTTAGTATTGTGCCGGGTTTTCTTGAAAATGTGCAAAAACAGATCCGGTGTTCATTTTTATACATGTATTCTTTATTGAGATAGAAGTTAATGGTTCCTTTGAGAGGGCCATCAACTTCTCAGTAGAAAATATTATTTATGTTGTATTTTTTTATTTAGATAGGAAATGTTGAAAAATTGTTAAGTCGTACGAAAATTAGACCATCAGAAAGTTATCTCCCTTGCCTTGAACAGCATTTCAACCAATGAAATAATTGAAAATTTTCTCATCATGCAATTTCTATCAAACACAAAAGAGAGGAAGTGCATAGTCCGAAGACTGTAAAAAACTTCAACTATATAATACCGTCTTCTAAGGAAGACGGTAATAACTTTTGAACCATGAGAGATAGAAACTTAATATTTAGTATGTTTACTCTCCTTATTAAGCTCTTTCAATCGTCACCAAGGTCAATGACCTTGTGACCTTGACTGTGACCTACATGCTAAAAATAGCTTTTTCGAACTTTCGCCATTTCTTTTGAACCATAAGAGATGGAGACTTCATATTTCGTATGCCTACTCCGCCAATTAGGTTCTTTCAAACGACACCAGTGTCAATGACCTTGTGACCTTGACTGTAACTTATATGCTAAAAATAACTTTTTCGAATTTGTTGCCGCCGGGCGCATAGTGTTTCATAAACACATCTTGTTTTTTTAACGACAATACTTCTACATTCTTGTCATCCGATTTAAATAGAACTAGGTGAAAATTGGTTCATTCTGTGTTAAAGCATTTTCTTTTGAAATGGTGTAAACAAGTCGTGGACTCCTGTTGTTTTTAGGGAAGTCGGAAGCTAGGTGCCATGTTAAGCTTCCTAGTTTTAGGTTGTTTTCATTAAACATGCGGATTTAATTCTTTCGCAAACTTTAAGGATGACAAATGACAAAGAAATTCCATTGATAAAAATGAAAAACTGTACACATATGATTCTTGTGTTTAGGTGTTATTATTCACTTTCAATTAAATAAGTCAATGACCTACAATTCATGCGACCGTTCCCTAAGAAACTCAATTTTTTCATTTTATGGAAAATATTTTCTTTATTTGCAAAATATTACAAGCAACAAAATTCTTTAATAGATAACGAAATATAATAGTTGTGCGACATATGAATAAACAATTCACTTTTAATTTTTTCCAGTAATTGTAAAATACTTAAAGAATAATTGCTTGGGACTTCCAAATCGCTTCGGCATATCCATGGTATTCGAGATATCAGAGTTAGAGATATCGAAGTTTACTTTTTTTATTAAACATATTGAACTTCAAATATTATAGCTATGTGCAATATTCTGATAAGTACAATTGTGTTCAACAATCTTATGTATTATGATAATTTACATGCAAAATGTCTGGGTTTTTCCTTAAAATAACCTTATTTTGATCTATTTTTATTTTGAATGTAATGAACGTCTACATAAGTGTTTAATAATTGTTCTTTTTCTGCCATTTTTAATAAAGGATGATTGCGTCTCTCTTTACTTCTGTTTACCTGGATCTACACAAAAAAAAGAAAATAAACTTACTCTTATAAGATAAATGAAGTAAAGAACTTCAAATGTTCAATAGATGTGACTAGATAAGTAAAAATTTTCACAAGCAAAGATGTAGCTCTTTTGAATCACTTAAAAACATAGGAAGAACTAGAAAAGAAACTCGTTGCGAGCAACGAGAGGTCTTCCGTCCGATTCTGAACCCCCCCCCCCCCCCCCCCCCCCCCGCAAAATTGAGCTGAAAAAGTGATAAAACTTTCATGGAAACAAAGGGGATTGAACCCGTGTCGCCAGCATGATAATCCAAAGCGCTTACTATTACGCTATTGGGACCACAGCTCTAAATCTACTTTTATATACTTCTGAAACAGTACATCTGTCTTAGAATAATGAAAGACGGTTACTATTAATAATTTTGTGCCAAACGCCACAAGTAAATCTTTGCGCCTTTTCTTTGGAATGTCCCATTACATAGGTGTTATAGCTTCAATGGAAATAAAAAGAACGTTCTTATAGCTAAAATTTCAAGGTAAAGAAATTGTTTTAAACACATTTACAAATTCTATGCATAGATAGATTAGTAACACTAAATCAGCGAAACTGCTATATTTTTTTCACTTTTAAAAAATTTCTGTTTATCCCCATACTGAACTATCCCTATTAGTTAAACTTTCATAAAAAGGTTGAAATGTTTCACCGAAAAACATGTGTTGCCCTAAGACGGCCAAGGAATCAGATACCATTGTTGATCAATAACTTAAATCTTTTCTTTGAGACAAGAATAATAATATAAACTCAATTCTTCTAAAAAGTGGTTTTACTATGTTTGTCTTTCCTATTAGTTTAATATGACTCAAGTGTGCTTGAGCAAAACAGGAGATACGTTTAATACTTACTATATACATCGATATTGTTTCTTAAAACTATTATTTGTTAACTATGATTTAAGATCTTTTTTTCCGCAAAACAAATGATAGTAGGTATGTATTTCATTTGCACATTTAGTCTTTTCTTTTTCTTCTTTGAGAACCAGCCAAAACCAATTTTAGAAGACGTTTGAGACTATCATCGATTTAAACTTAATTAGACACAGAATTGCAACGTAACTACGTCGTGATAATCCCCATATTCCTTTACATTTCATTTATCCTTATTTACTTTCGTTCAAGCAAACGCTTGGCTGCCTCTGAAAACCCCTATTGCGAAATGTCGGAGTTGACATAGGCAGCCGCCATATTGGACCCGCTTCAGATTTTCAAATGTTAATATCTAGAGTTAGGATTAATAAATGTTCAAACAAATTATATAGTTAGCATTATAAGAACGGTTTCTATTAACATTCCAAATAAATGAAAAATATTGAAAAACAAAAAAGTTAGAAAATACGGACTTTTTAAATTCGCTTCCGCTAGCGACCGGAAGTACTGACGACACACGAAAAGGTGATTTCACATATCTAAAGGTCATCATCTATTATCTTTAACAAGTCTCCAGTTAATATCTTAGACCATTTTCGTAAAAAAAGGGGGACAAAAATCCATTTTAAAATCAGAAAACTGTCAATAACTTGGAACCGAAGGTGAGTATTCCAAATTTTCCTTCTGATGAACAAAGTTCATATAATGACGCATAATTCCTGAAAGTTTCATAGAAAACCACCGAATAGTTTTCGAGAAATCGCCTGCACAAAATTTTGGGGAAAAAAATAATAATAATAATAATAATAACTAGAGCAAAGCTCGTTGCAAAGCAACGAGTAGGTCTTCTGTCCGGTTTTGACCGGAATTGCTGGAAGTGACATCAACAAAAGATAGCAATGAGATAAGTCGTCTCCAGTGACTTTATAATTTAAATTTTGCATCAAAACCTTCAAAATAAGCTATTTTTGGCTACTTCCGGTTTGACCGGAAGTGACGACGACGGACGGAAAATTAATTTTTATGCTCCCAGGGACATATATTATCCAAAAGCCTATCAAGAACGGCAAAAATACGCGTTTTGCGACCACTTCCGGTTTGGCCGGAAGTGACGACGCCGGACGTATTTTGACGACTTAAGCAGATAAAGCTTGACTTTTTGAACAACTTTGCTTCTTTGACGTATTACAACTTCTCAATACGTTTTGAGATATAAAGAAAAAACTGTCGGTCCCTCTAGGCCCTTAAATTTAGGGGCCAGCCCTTTTTTTGAGATATCATTTGAAAGATCTTTAAATTCTACACTTCTTTTGTTCTTAATGTTTTCACAAAATATTTTCAGGTTAAAAGATATCGAAGAAAAGGTGTGAGAAATTTTGAAATTTGATAGGTCTATTTTCGGGCCATAGCGAGCGCCGACGTGCGTCATTTCCGGTAAATTTGATATACCTGATGCACCTCTCCAGACATAGCTCTACCTAGCCTCAAAGTTTGAAGTTTCTATCTAGAGCCGTTTTTCGGGAAAATTGTGGACAAAATGACCCTTAAAAATAAGAAAATCGACGATATCTCTAGACCGGAAGTGACGTCATCGAAACGGAAAAAAACGCATAAGGTTCAAGTGATGTTCCATACATCCTGAAAGTTTCATAAGATTTCGTTGAGCCGTTTTCGAGAAATCGCGTGCACAAAATCGGTAAGAAAAAAAAAATAATAATAAAAGTGAAAAAGAAACCGAAGAAAAACAATAAGGTCTTCCGTTGGAAACGGAAGACCTTAATAAGAAACAGTAGAATCACTAGAAGGTCTTCCGTGAAGACGGAAGACCTTAAATATGCTATTCACCACCATCAAATGATACTACATGTATAATGGAGTTTTATGGACTTCCTAGATTGTTAATAAGGTCTGTATAGACTTTCAGATTTAAACCTTACTGAATAAAGGATAATGAATTTCAACAATTGAAAAGCTGAAATGCAGAAATGGTCCTGGTCTAGCTTTAAAAAGGAGGGGTGGTATGATTAAAACAAATTGAGTCTACACTAAGTAAGGATGCTTACATATTTCTTTCACTAACTGCAGCTTTTAAGGTCACCTGAGTTTACTCGGGTGACCTATTGCTATCTGTTTTCATCTGTCGTCCGTCATGTGTTAACATTTAAACATTTTCGGCTTCTTTGCTGAAACCACTGAACTAATTTCAACTAATTTTTCATCTGTCGTCCGTCATGTGTTAACATTTAAACATTTTCGGCTTCTTTGCTGAAACCACTGAACTAATTTCAACTAATTTTGACATATATAGCATCTATGGGTGAAGGAGAATGTAAATTGTGAATTAAATTTTTTCATGGTTCCTGCCCCCCTAAGGCCTGGGTGGTGGGACCAAAACCAGTAAAATTAATGCAATTTTTTAAAATCTTCTTTACTCCTGGATATCAGGCAGCTAAACTGTTGGCATGATTGTAATCAGCATTGAGTCCTCTACCAAAATTTTGAAATTCATGACCTCAGGGTCAGGGGTTCTGGTGTTAGGGCAGGGCTGTTATCATAATATAGTGAAAATGCAAACATTCTTTGATAATCTTCTCCTCTGTTCCTGGGTATTTTGAAAACAAACACAAAGCAAAGTTATGATGAGGAAGGTTGCCTCTACCAAAATTGTGAATTTCATGACCCCTAAAGAGGGGGTTCTGGTGTTAGAGCGGGGCTCTACTGACTATATAGTGAAAAGCATTTATTCTTTGAAAATCTTCTTCTCTGGTCCTGGTTATTAAACCAATGAACTATGTACATAGGTATGATGAGGAATGCTGCCTTTTCCAAAATTGTAAATTTCAAGGACTCTGGCTCAGGGGTTCTGGTGTTAGGGTGGGGCTCTGTTGGGTCCATAGTAAAAATGCATCGATTCTTTGAAAATCTCCTTTGTTACAGGGTATTATGCTGATAATCAAAGTTCATAGTTATGATGAGGAAGCTTAAGGGTGCTTCTTTCAGAATTGTGAATTTTAAGTCCCTTGGACAGGGTGGCTAGGATGGGGTCACTAGGGTTGGGTGAGGGGCTCTAATGATTATACAAGTATACTGAAAATGAATTGATGCTTTGAAATCTGCTTTTTGTTGGAATTAATTAAACATTTATGATGAGCAAGGGTGCCTTTCCTTGGGGCTCTTCTGGTTATATAGTAGAAATGCACATTTTCTTTGTTCCTCTGCCATGTCTATGGACATTAAGTAATCAAAGTAAGCATGCCAAGTGTCTATAGTTATCATGATCAATAATGCAACTTTCAAAATTGTGCATGGCCTCTGGTTTAAAATACAAACCAAATTCATTTGTTGGAAAGTTGTTACATGATACTCAGGTGACCTATAAGGCCCTTGGGCCTCTTGTTTCTATAAGTTTGAACTTTCTTTGTGGCCCCACTCTACCCACAGGGGTCAAGATTTAATTTTAATGTGTATGCTACCTGAGTATGCTTCTATATAGATATGACAAATAATGGTTTTGTTGTAACTAAGAAGATTTCTTAGATATCGCCCCGTGGGGATCCGGGTTAGAATAGATCCTCAGTACCCCCTTGCTTGTCGTAAAAGGCGACTAAATGGGGCGGTCCTTCAGATGAGACCGTATAAACTGAGGCCCCATGTCACAGCAGGTGTGGCACGATAAAGATTCCTCCCTGCTCAAAGGCTCTGAGTGCCGAGCATAGGCCTAAATTTGCAGCCCTTCACCGGCAATGGTGACGTCTCCATATCAGTGAAATATTCTGGAGAGGGATGTTAAACAGTATACAATCAATCAATCAATCCTATACATGTGTTTCTTGGCAAAACTTGGCTTGTCCATTGAGGCCCTAACCTACCCCTGGGACTGTGATTTGAACAAACATGAATAACACTAATAAACAATCAAGGCTTTGTTGGTCTTGAGAAGAAAATATTTTCTATATACTCTTAAGTAAAATTTTAATAATCCATTGTGGCCCTACTCTACCCAGGGGGCCATGATTTGAACAAACAGGAATCTACACTACTTGAGGATGCTTCCATATGAACAAGACAGACAGACGCCAGACAAAATGTGATCAGAAAAACTCAACTTCGTCTTTGACTCAGGTTAGCTAATAGTATCAGAAAAATAATTCTAAGGGGGAGCATGTTTTAAATTGTGGAAATGAAATTGAACAATTATATTTTCACATTCATACTGACACACACAAAAAAACAAACAATCAAACAAATTTTTTTCTAAACCTCCATTTTATAACCAGATAAAAGCACATTGGATGTACAATTTGTAGAAAATTGATGATTTTTCACCATGAAAATAAATATATTATTACAGAGAATGTCAGTATCTTGTATATACATATTAAAATACATTCTCAAAATAATGAAATAAAGCTGAATCATACAGAGACCCAAAGGGTTGAACATTTCTACTCTGCAACTGCTGAAATCCTAACATTTAAACTGTAATCTATAAATTTATATAATGATTTGTCAATTCATGTTAAGTAAATAGAACTACATTATGCCAATGTGCATTGCACAGGAAACAACAAATAAGATGAATTACCATTTACAGCAAAACTCGTTTAGTACGAACACGGATATAGTGAATTTACGGTTATAGCGAAGTTATTTTGGATCCCCAGCTATATAAATTTAACGTATTCCTTATAGGATATAACAAATTATGGATATTGCGAAGTAAATTCATAGGTCCCCGTGACTTCGTTATAAATGAGTTTTACTGTACAACCTATTAGAAGCTTTAGATTTGAACTTTTAAGGAATAACAGTTGAAATTTGAACCCTTTGGATTTCCATACATCAGAACTTGCATGAAATACATGTACAGCTTCATCAGTTGTTTCTAGTCCATTCTACTCTATTTACATGTAGCTTATACAATCCATTGTATCATTTCATTCAATTTTGACATTTCATTAAACAAATAATAATTTACATCTAATCATTTTTAACTTTTGATCTGTGAATCATGGCAGAGAAAAATCCATACAGTAACACTAATCCCATCACACAGAAACAGAATCCCACTGGGCCGACCCCCCACCATAGAGTGAGTATCATGTAGAAAAGTCCGAGGTACACTAGAGTCCGGTAGCTGGCCAGCAGTCGGAGGCTGAGTCGGGGTCTCTGTAAAGCTTGTCTCTGTCTGCTGGATATCGGAGAGTTTAATTTACTGTCGAATGGAAGAAGTGGAGCAAAATACACTTGTGCCATCTGTCCTATAAGGTCATTCCTGTCACACAGGTTCTGAATATCCTGGCCGTACTGTAAAATACCACAGAATTAGCAAAATGCTAGATTATAAATTACACAACCCCTTGCATACTCAATAACTAAATAGATTGATACTTTGACACCCCATCCCCAACAAAGTGCAAGGAATGATGTTAAATTCTTTCTTATGAATACATGTATTCCCCCCAAAAAAACAGAAATTGAAAAAGTGGATTTTTTTTCAGGAATTCTGTATAAATACTGTTTTTCTGATATTTTCTGCAATTGTCCAAAGAACTACTGTAAACCAACATTTTTTCGCGACGACTTTATTTCGCGATTTAGCGGGGGTAAATTAGTTCGCGACGATTAATTTTCGCGATAAAGCCTATTAAGGTTTCTTTTTTATAGACACATAGACTTTAAGAACCAGTTCGCGGCAAGAAATATTTGCGATGACGAGGCTCTCGCGAACTTCGCGAAAATTTCTCGCACGCGAATAAAAGTTGGTTTACAGTATATGCGGTATTAACCAACATTTGCCCCCCCAAAATCAAACTTTGATGGAGTAATATTTAATTAAGTCCTTAAACAGGGGAGTATATGCTGACTTCAAAGCACTGAATAATTTCATAAGTAATGACATCATATGTACGTAATGACGTCACAAATATGACGTAAATTTCAGTTTTTTATGAATTTTGCAGAAAAATGTACATATTTCGTCGATATTTTGAATAAAAGTCACCGAGCGCATGTGTGTTCAGGATAAATATTTTGGTATAATGTGTAGAATGATAATATCAATGAAATATGTCAATATTGTTCCTGAACACACATGCGCTCTATAAATTTTAAAGCTTAAATTGTTGAAATTTTGTCCATTTTGTCCTCTTTCTGAAAAAGGATATAAAATCGGACTAGTTTGTGACGTCATAAAAACAGAAATTGTGAATACACTGCTCTGGAACTATAATATTTTCTGTTAACTTATATTTCTCGTACAATTTATTGAATTCAGCACATTTCAGGAAGTTTTCAAAATTTGACTTTTGTGGGGGCAAACATATGCAATATACCGCATATAGTTCTTTTTCAGAATTTTGTGGATAGGACAAAAACAAAACATAGGTAATCAAAGATTACGAAGCTCACCTCGACGAATGTTATCAGTGTAAGTAATGCAAATCTCACATCATATTTTCTTAATGTCTAGTATTTATCCCAACAACAATATTCTTGCAAGTTGTGTTTAACCCCTTACATGGCATATACACATTTCTATGCACGTAGCATGAAAAACATATATAGTGTAAACAAATATTCATAAATTTGTTAATACTGCAGATATCAAGGACTTCAAGTTCATTGGGATTAATCTGTTCCCAAAACTTTAACCTGGTCTCTTGTATGGAAAATATAGGTAAGATTCAGCATCCAAAGCAAGTCTGATAGTGTCCATCCCTAGATGCATCATCCATGCAAGTTTGGTTCAGGTAGGTCTTATAGTTACTTGGGAATGAATATGTAGGTCAGATCCAGCATCCGAAGCAAGTCTTGTAGTGTCCATCCCTAGATGCATCATTCATGCAAGTTTGGTTCGGGTAGGTCTTATAGTTACTTGGGAATGAAAATGTAGGTCACATCCAGCATCCGAAGCAAGTCTTGTAGTGTCCATCCCTAGATGCATCATCCATGCAAGTTTGGTTCGGGTAGGTCTTATAGTTACTTGGGAATGAAAATGTAGGTCACATCTAGCATCCGAAGCAAGTCTGGTAGTGTCCATACCTAGATGCATCATCCATGCAAGTTTGGTTCAGGTAGGGCTTATAGTTACTTGGGAATGAAAATGTAGGTCACATCCAGCATCCGAAGCAAGTCTTGTAGTGTCCATCCCTAGATGCATCATCCATGCAAGTTTGGTCTGAGTAGGGCTTATAGTTCCTTGGGAATGGACGTGCTCCAAAAACTTTAACCTGGTCACTCAAATGGAAAATGTAGGTCACATCAAGCATCCGAAGCAAGTCTAGTAGTGTCCATCCCCAGATGCATCATCATGCAAGTTTGGTCAGGGTAGGGCTTATAGTTCCGTGGGAATGGACCTGCTCCAAAAACTTTAACCTGGTCACTCATCTGGAAAATGTAAGTCCAATCCAGCATCTGAAGCAAGTATGGTAGTGTCCATCCCTAGATGCATCATCCATGCAAGTTTGGTCTGGGTAGAGCTTATAGTTACTTGGGAATGGACGTGCTCCAAAAACTTTAACCTGGTCACTCATCTAGAAAATGTAGGTCAGATCCAGCATCCGAAGCAAGTCTGGTAGTGTACATCCCTAGATGCATCATCCATGCAAGTTTGGTTCAGGTAGGGCTTATAGTTACTTAGGAATGGACTTGCTCCTAAAACTTTAACCTGGGACGCCGACGCCAACGCCGGGGGTATAGCATAAGCTCATCTCGACTTCGTCGAGGTGAGCTAAAAATGCCACAGAAAAGTATTCTTGAGATATTCAGATATTTTGTAAATGCAACACTGCATTTATGTCTGAGACATTTCAAAGGTAAAGAGGATTTGAACATAAAAAGAGAATGTTGAAGAGCATGCTAATTTTGGATATACTGGCCCCTGTTTTCAGTTCCCATAAACTAGTGACTATAAAAATACCTTATAGCCCTATAGCCAGACACAATAAAGCCAACGCCAATACCAAGAGTGGCAAAGACTGATCAGTAGTGACAGAAAAGAAGCTTGGAATTACGTAATCAAGGTTTACATCATGTACAGTCTATCGAATTGGATGACAGAAAATAAATTATCCTGCCTCTGATAAAAATTTTGAATTTTCATTTGTTGAGAAGAATACTACATACTAAACCATATTATGCTGCCTACCGACGTTATATTGTTAATATGTCCCCTCATCATGACCTACTCACCACATATATCAATATCTAATCAATATGACCCTCCATATGCCATACTGTCCAGATCATATTCAATATATTATTTTCATTCAAGTAATCAATGAGCTTAATAACCAATGTCAAATAAACATCAAAGGACCTCACAATTTAAACAATTGTTTCAGAATGATTTTCTGAACTCAGAGAAAATGAATTTTATTTTAAAAATCTTTGAAAATATAAATTCGTTACGTGCACAAGACACTTAGAGAGGTAATTCGGAAATACATGAGATCCTTGAAAAAATGCATATTAGGCTCACCTTACTCCTTGCCCAATACATGTATGCATTTTTTCAAGGACCCCACATATTTCCATATTACCCCTATAAGCGTCTACACTGCTAATAAATATATATTATTATAACAGTAACTTAATCAGAAGAGTCGTATCATGTCTAGTTGACAGGCGCGGATCATCAGACCTAATGAGACACGAAGCATCGAGTTTGATCTGATGATCCGCGCCTGTCAACGAGACGTGATACGGCTCTTCGGATCAAGTTACTGTTATAATGATAAATTTATTATATACCCCCTTATAACTAGCAAAATATATCAAAATAAAACTTTAAAGATCAATTGTATAATATTAATCCATTAAACAAAGCATAATAACAAGGGACTTTTTAACGCGCAAGAAAAATAACGTCATGTTTCTGCGCACTACATCATCAGTTTCAGAGAGTGGTGATATGGATTCGGAAAACCACAGTGTGGTGATCCGGAAAATCGGATCATGACGTCACGTGATAGCGTAAAATTAACAGTAAAACTGAGTGATACACGTTAGGTATATAATAATGCACAATGACAGATGGAAACTCTTATAAAAATAACCACCTGTGTGACTCAGGTGAAACAACCTACCTGAGTATTAATGAAGTTACAGAATTGATGAAACAGACGAACTAATGTGGCATTTTCAAAACTTCTGATTGGCTGTAAATCTGGGTCACCTTGATATACAACATCAAACTTCCTCATCTTGTTCTTCAACTAAACAAAAAGGTTTTGTGAAGTTAAGCAAATTCTTAAATATTCAAAATACTCTTAAATACCATATGTTTTTATTCCTTTAAAAGTTTTAAGACACAATAGTTTTGCTTGAGTCTCATATTTTATTCAAATCTTGACAAGATGAAGGACATTTATAATATTCAATAAAATAACTAAAATCATTTTAAGTTTTAATGATCAATAAAATAGTATTACATTATCATCAATGTATATTACTTAATATCATTTGATGAGGAGTAAATCAGACCTGGTATCTCCCATGTGGTGTCAATGTGAACCCATCCTCTGTTTCTTCACAGTCTGGTATTGTATTCGACAATAAAGAGCTCTCCAAAAAGGAGGACTGCTCAAATTGATTCGGTGAAGACATTTGTTTTGAAGCATAAGGATGAGTTTCAATCTACAAATAACCAAAATGCTTTAATAAAACAAAATTAAATGTAAGTAAGGACTCCTGCATCTAGGGTGAAAAGGATGAGAAAATTTCAGAAATTATTTAGTGCAGTATATAATATATACGAAGAGTAAACTAACAGTATCCAATTTTTTATCATTCTTTGTAAGCAATAATCCATGAGTAAAAAATCCTCCCTACCTCAAATATATAGCATATGTTAGAGGCTGCTGTGTCCAGGTACGACTGCACTTTTTTAACCTCTGACGGGGACATATCCCCCATGCTCTGGTCATCCTGGAACCAAGATGAAACATCCAATATGGCTGCCAGTCCCGATTTTCTGGTTTTCTTGACAGACTCTTCATAAGCTATGAGGGTTTGCTTGGCAACTTCTATGTGTCCTAGAATAGCTTTCATCTGAAAGGAATTTTATAATGTCAACTTCACTCAATTTACCTTTCAGGCCATCTAATGATCAACACAATTTTATATTGAACAACCTTTGATCAGCATGTAAAGAATTCATATTTGTATAATAATGGTACAGAACATTTAAAAGAAAACATATAGAGACTTTGGAGGCACAAAGTCAAAGGACAAGTTAATTCATATGATAATTCATGTGATATGATATCCTAGCATTTGTCTCGTATAGCCAAATTGAGACTTCACTTTATTATATAGATTTGTGGTTGGAGAAAGGCTGAAGGAAGACACACAGATTTATTAGATCCCTTAGAACTACTTAAAACAAATCCAGATTTACATGTATTTTAACATAATGTTTCCTAAAAGAAAGATTTGATATATTTTTAAGATAACACAGAGCTTAGATAGCCAACCTTGGACTACATTCTTTGTATCTTTCCACATCCTTTTTTTTCTGTACAAGTAAAATCTACCACTGACCATATGTATCATTTCTTCGCTGTACATTCTGCAGTACTGGAAGCCAGGTTTCTCCAGCTCTGTGATCTGTGAGTGGAGGGACACGCTGGTCTCCGGGGAGATATAGCTCCCTCCCAGGTCGTGACTCCCAGGACGACCCAGCCTTATAGCACTACACATCTCCCTCTCAGCTAAACATCAAAATAAAGGGTCATTATGAACTGTAGCTGCTTTAAATTTGAATTCACCTGAGACATCAGATTATATGTTCCTACTACTATCAGAGTGTTATAATTACAAATTTTTACAATAACAAGCTCCTTCTAAACAGAACCATACACAATTCAACTTTTAATTGCAAGATTTGAAGAAACTTTATGACAATATTTCAATGTACCTTTTAAAATAAAAATTTAACACAATATTTTCATATTTTTTTCCCTTTTCCTTAAAGTCTGAAATCAGAAACATCCAATGTAAAATTGAATCTAAAAGTTTATACCTCTAAATACCATGTTTGATAAGTTTGGCAGACTATATACCTGTAAAATAACAATTTCTTGTAAATACATGTACATGTAAATTTCAATGTAAGTTACAAAATAGGATGTGAATATAAGGGATCAATCATTTTAATGTTATAGATAAAGTTAACATATCTGGAAATTTTTATCAACATGATAAAACTGTAAATAAATTTCATTTCTTCTATATCTGATTCACTGTATGTGCATTTAAACATGTAATATTTTATATCAAAAGAAAATTTCAGAAATCCAAAAACTGTAGTATGAACAAATTTTCCACTTATATCAGAACATTCTTCAAGGTATTAACGAATTTCAAACATATCGTAAATGTTTATCTCATAAACTGTCTGACAGGTTAACACAAAGTGGTCAAAATGAGGTTAAAACTAATAAAAATATCTCCATCATTTCAATGTATGACACTGAACTTTGAATTAGCTGCATACATGTACATTTAGATTAATGCAAATAAAACTGAATGCAAGTAACTGATTACCCAAGTAAAACGACTACCTCTTTAATGCACTGCAAGAGTTGAAGAGTGATTTAAGTGTAATAAAAGTTATTATTTTGAATTAAGCCCTCCAAATGACAAGAAAAATAATGATATTAAATCAAATTTCTTCAATGCATTTTAAATACCTGCCTTATATGTAAAATTCTTTAATTTATATACAAGTACCTTGTTTGCCCTGTAGAGCATGCAGGCATTGAACTGTGTAGTAAGATCCATCCTGAACACCCTCTGTGTAAACTCCTGATATAGAACTGTATAAAACAACAGATTATCCTCCACAAAGGGAAACCTACAATCATGTACAGAGTAGATAAGTATTTTAAGGATTACTATAATATTGTACATGTACTATTACTTCAGTCACTTACCGGTAAGCATACATGTACTTCTCTGATTCTTAAAAATGTTTTTTTTTCAAAAATTTTCAATATTTCCCTTTAAGGAAAATCTGAATGATTTTCTTCCTTTCCTGGCATTTCAATAGAGTGTTTTGATAAACTGACCACTTTTCCTGCACTGTTTTATTGATTTCTACTGATTGAGTGTTTTGTTATACTGACCATTTTTCCTCCACTGTTTTATGGTCTCCAACATCACTGTCCCTCCGTCCTGTCTGGGACTTACTGTAAATGTACCGCCAGGGCTGAATGTAGGTCAACCATGTCTCTAAAAGCTACAAGAAACAAATTTTAAATGTAAAGTCGAGACATCAATAATAGGAACACTTCCCATCCAGTATAAAATTTTTGAGGCACAGAATTTACATTTCAATCTAACAACTACAAAAGGTCTGTTTTAAAAATACAGACTAATCAATTTAAATTACACGAGGCCTCCTATGTCCATTTCAATAGTCCTCACCCACTGATGTCAAACACAAAGACAGCCGCATGAGATTTACATGCATATTAGGCCTCCTTAGCTCCTGACCTACTTCATTGTGAAATTTACAATACATACCAGTAGAATGATCAAGAAAGCAACTCTACTAACTTTAAAAGAGTTATCACAGAGAAAACAAATAGCAATGGAAATATTAATAAATAACTCTCTTCCATGGTAGCAAATGAGAAGAAAAATATTTATAATTCGAATCCTTAATTGATTTAAACAATCTTCAACTTACAAGTCTGAAGGAACAGTCCAGCGGCCATCTATCAAAGCCATGCCGGAGGAATGTATAGAGTTTCTTCTGTATTATGTACGGTATCAGGGACCTGTGTAAAAATCTTGATTAATGAAAACCTGTATGTATCAGATATACTGTAGACGTACTTTTTTCCACGGGGTCATAATTCCGCAGAATCTCAATTCCTGTTTAATCCGTGGGTAGGAAATTACGCAGATTTCTTAGACTGTCAGTAAATGCCTTACATTTATATAAAGTACATGTGTATGCTTGGACAAATTTCCGCAGAAAATTTGTGACCGCGTACATAGCGTAAATTAAAACCACTCAGAAAAAAGTACTTTTGCAGTATATTAGCCTAGAGGAAATGTGCATCTTTTATCTTTGTAACTGTAATGAAGGATATTTTTTTTTCTTAAGATTTAAAGATTAGAAACCAAGAATTACATGCTGCTGAATTCATTGGAATTTTTTTTTGGTCTTTATATAGACTTTTTTTCAAACTTAACTACAGAAAAGAAATTAAGAATACGTATTTTAAAAACAGAAAACAGTAATTATTGTTGTAGGCTGTACTGACTTTTTGAACTCGTCTAGTGTTGAAGTGATGTGACTTTGATAGGGTGAGGAGACCACCTCAGGTTTAGCGGTGTTGACAAAGTTATGGACGTGTTTCACCAGCATTCTCACCAGGCGTACATGGTTCGTGCTGGGCATGAAATTCTCCTGAAAATTATCTTACACATTAATGAGATTCAAAAATAAAATGTATGTAATGCCATGTACTTCATCTATTAAAACTGAACTGTGAAAAAAAAACACTTTCATTCATGTTATGTAATGTAGTAGTTACACTTACTCTCTTTTTCAGGTGATTTATACGTTGAAAGCTATAAACTCCTGTAACAATGTATTCATGCCAATTTCAGACTCAAACACAATAACATTTGGATTGCCATGCTCAAGGTAATCTATGAAGTTCAACACTGCTTGTATGTTTTGACATTTTTAAATTTGGTTTTTAGTATAATAAGCATTACTGTACTTCCTTTCAAGAAAATAGAAAACATGCAAAATTTTCTCAACAACTATTGCATGCATAGCATGTAAATGGTACATTTGTATACAGACAGGTATACATGAATATTGTCCATCCAATATCATACACCATTAGAACAATTCAAGATATTTTTTCCCTAAGCTAAAACCACATATCTTTCTTTCAAAAATTCTGTTTTAATCAAAACTTAAACTGTATAAATGTACAAGCCAAGCTGGTTTACAGGATAACAAGACTACAGCGAAGTGTACCAAAGTACTCACAAACCAGTATTGGTACGGTCCTCTTTGTAATCTCAGGTCATACGGTGGCTTGTCAGATAAAATACTTATATTTAATTACATGTAATACAGACTTAATAATTCAAAATTTAAAAAAGAAATTATTTGATTGTTTTTGCACACAGTACTAGCTTTAAAAAATCCTAAGAAATTTTCATGTGATAACTGCCAAATGCACTGAAAGGAAGAAAATAATGAACTGTAGTCAAAAGCTTACCGAGGCTGTATGAGAGAATGATTGTCGGTCAATGCTGATGGGATTCTGGTTCAACCAAAACTCAGTAAACACCTACAAGTACAAAAACATTTCTTTTAGGTCTGAATACATATCCACTTACACCACAGGTTAGCACAGGTATTCTATGTTCTAAACACAGGCCTTTCAAAAATTGCCAGTGTCTAGTATTTTTACCAAGATGAAATCATGATTGCATAAGCCACAATTTTTGATGGAGAGAAATTCGGTAAGACGTTAATTAAAATTGCAATACCCCTATCTTTGTACTGCCTGTTTCTAATCTTCCTGAAAGCCCTGAAACCTGATTTGTTGATGCAAACTGTGGATTGTCACCACCCCTACTGGACTGTCACCACCCCTACTGGACTGCCATGCCCCCTACTGGAGTGCCATGTCCCCTACTGGACTGTCATGACCCCTACTGGACTGTCACCACCCCTACTGGACTGCCATGCCCCCTACTGGAGTGCCATGTCCCCTACTGGACTGTCATGACCCCTACTGGAGTGTCATGACCCCTACTAGACTGTCATGACCTCTATTGAGCTGTCAGGACCCCTACTGGACTGTCATGACATCTACTGGACTATCACAACCCTACTGGACTGTCATGACACCTACTGGACTGTCATGACCCCTAATGGACTGCCATGACCACTACTGGACTGTCATGACCCCTACTGGACTGTCAAGACCCCTACTCGACTGACACGCCCCTTACTGGACTGTCACGACCCCTACTGGACTGTCATGACCCCTACTGTACTGTCACGCCCCCTACTGGACTCATGGCCCCTACTGGACTGTCACGCCCCCTACTGGACTGTCACGCCCCCTACTGGACAGTCATGTCCCCTAATGGACTGTCACACCCCCTACCTGTATGAGAGTGTCTGATCGGTAGGTCTCAGTTGTCTCCCCTTGAGTTATCACTGCTGCTGTCTGGGCGTGCTGCTTCTGGGCTGACACAAAGCTCGACTTCAGTAGACTGGGTCGCTGTGGGGAAGGCGGAGAGGAGGGCATGTTAAAGGACTTCCTGTAAAAGGGGGAATAATTAATAACTTTTTGTAAAAAGCATTTTGTCAAATTCTCACATTTTTTAAATATCTCTCCATCTTATTTCCATGGCGTTGCTGACTACATGTAATTACCCTGCCATTGGAGAGTGGACAACTGGACTACGAACAACTGCTTGGACTGTGGGCATCTTAGGGAGACTGTCTTTATTCAATGGCAAGAAATAATTCAGGTAATCATCAATCAGTACAGGGTACAGAGAGTCAGTTATGTTACTCCAGTTACAGTTGTGTCGCTGAACACTCGGATTGACGAGATGGTAGGCAAGGTGAAACATATACAGCTCATAGGCATCTAATAAGGAAGTCAAGGCAAATAATAAATTTATCTAAAAAGGAACTTGTAAATGGTATAGCTATTTCACAATCAACTGAATACATTTTAAATATTGTGCTGAGGTCAAGGATACTAAGTACAATGACTGGTCGGCCAAAATTCAGATACTGAAGTTTGTTGGCATAAAAGATTGGCAAACTACCATCCTCAATCAAATGCTGTGTTGGCATCTGTAAAATTAAAGGTAAATTTTGAAATACAAATTATAAAATTTACATTTGCTGTGTTTTTCTACTAAGCCAACTGTGAAATTGATTTGAATACCATTTTTGTGTATACTCACGCGTAGAAATACATGTATTAACGGAGAAAGGTGTGTTAACGTGACGTCACAATAAAGACTACAACGATGTTAGAAAAAGTATAACCATAAAGGGCAGCAAGAAATTCAAATATTGAGTGTATTTTTGGTGCTTTCAAACTTGTAAAATGTAAATACAAGGAATGTTTTTAACTTTAGTATGAATTGTTGGTGTGTGAATCACACAGACTTGCACGTAGGCATATTTTTCATGAAGTTAAAGCACTAACGCGCTTTATGAAGATGCATAGGTGACAAGTCTGTATGATTCACACACCAATAACTCACACAAAACTTAAAAACATTTCTTAAATGAATGTTTAACTACATTACAGATAGAAAATTTAAAATACAAAATATCTTGTATTTCATTATATTTTTAAACTAGATGCTGTCATGAGACAGTAATACCCGCACTAAGGTGTTTGCCTCTAAATACACGCTCCTACATATTGGGTGGCTTTCCAAGGAAAAAGTCAAAATAATTCTATAATTTACATGTATTCATCAAATTGAGTATGAAATTCTCAGACCCTGTGACCTATAACTCAGAACCTCTTATATTTATTTTACATGCTTAATTCATTATATACCAGTTTGAATTCTATTAATGATGTAAATTAGATTTTGATAAATGTTTTGGTCAAAATAGGACCTTTTTAAATTTACTAATCCCCCCCCCCCCCCCCCGACACTACAATCACACAGCACATACTTTTTGGAATAGGCTAGTTTTGTTAAAACATCGTTTGTTATGAATTAATTTAAAATTTGTTCTTGTACTATACATGTTAACATGTAAATTTCTACATCACATCACGTTGCATCACCCATTATCATATTTTTAGATTAAACACCATTTGGCACATCTCGGCCGATTCCCACTTCATCTGATAAGGTGACGGAATCGGCCGAGGTGTGCCAAATGGAATTAGCACATGGCTGCAGTCTGGTGTGCATTGGATTAATTCATTTTGTGTTATAATTGGATTTATATTTCATGAAGTTGACGAGACCTATGGCAGTCGGTAAGTACAAGTTTAAGTATAGTGGGGGGTAAAATAAACCCGAACGATTAGGTTAAAGTTCAAAAAGGGTCAAAGATCATCGCATGCCACACTAGACGAATTTCATATTGTGAAGTTATCTCCCGTTGTCGATGTGACATTCAGTTACTGCCAATACTGGTGCGGATCCAGAATTTTTTTTCAGGAGTAGGGAGGAGGGTTCACATCTCAGTCAAAAAATTCCAGCCCAGAATTTCCTGACAAGCAGGAGAAAAAAAACTGAAAACAAATAAACAAAATAAAAACAATGATAGTGTGGTCAATGTTTTCTAAGTTAGGGGGAGGATGTCCAAAGTCATTTTTTATTTGCTTCAGTATATAGTCTTGTTTAAATAACAAAGCAAATTCCAGGGGGGGGGGGGATGGGGGGATTCCAATCTCCCTACCCACTCCCTGTCCCTGAAATAACAATCTATTTTGTGATTCCAATTAAATAGTATATTTTTTTCCATTTGACTAATTATACATATTTTGTTTCTTGTGTTTATATTATGTCTGTCTAAATTATAACTTTGCCCATAAGTTTTAAGTGGGATGGGCTATACAAATGGCTTCCACATTTTATAGGTTTATTTCTTGTGACAATTAAGACCTTTTATTTGGGTACCATTAATTTTTACCCCTGATCGCTTGACCTAGGATACACATTTTTACAAGAAAAATACCAAACTTTAAACTTGGCCTAAATTTTGATCAGTAGGTGCTAGGGCTTTAATGCTTAACATGTGTATTCATTGTGAACTGTCAACAGGTATAAATATGTTTGACCTTGACCCTAGAGTTTGAACCACTTAAAAAAAAAATTAACCTTGGCAATTAACTTTTGAACAGGAATTACTAGGGATTTCTTTATTTCACATTTGCATTCCTTGTGACAAGACTTTCTTCTGATACTAACAATTTGAACCCTTTGACCTTGACCTTTGAGTTTGACATATATTTGAGAAACTTCAACCTTCGCCATAGGCTTCCATACAGGGACATTAGTGTTTCACAAACACATCTTGTCTTCATTATTATTTGGTGGTGTCACCATATGTGGGAAAAATTCCCAAGAGAGATGTATTCACAACAAACACAAATTACTAAAGAAAATATAAAACATGAATATGTTGGTCATGCATATCTCTGCATGAAAAAAACAGCTTTTCAAATACTGCAACCATTGTAACCCTTTCAAAACACTCATTTGAGCTTTTCTGGTTTCCTTAGCATATAACGTCTGTCGTGACGTATCGTCCATCTGTTTGTCTGAAAACTTTTTACATTTTTAACTTCTCTAGAACCACTGGGCCAATTTTACCCAATTCATATAGAAATATGTACATTTGTATGTCAGACTGTCCATCTGTCTCAATAAATTTAACCTTGGTCATCACGGTCATATCTACTGAATGAGAAGAGACATTCATATTAAACTTATGTATTAGTATTTACCTGTGAGAATGGCATGGTTTTTTTTTTGTTTTTTTTTTACATGTGACCTAGAAGTTTGACCTACTTGCAAAAAAATTAAATTGTTATAAATTCATCATTTTGAAAAAGAAAAGTTAGGGCATTCATATCATAATGCATGTATATTATTACCTGTGATAAGACTTTTCCAAATAAATCATGACTTTTACTCTGTGACCTTGACCTTAAAGCGGTCAAGCCTAACCTACTTTTCAAAAATGTTGCATTTGCTTATAACTTTTGATTGAGATGAGATATCACTCTCACATTTGACATGTACATTAATTACTCATAAGAATTCAAGATGTTTCCCAGCATGCGATGCTTTTTTACCCCTTGACGTTGATGTTTTACATAATTTTCAAAATATCTAACTCTCCTAAAAGATGATTAGGCTTCTGAGGAACATTAAGGAAGACTTCAGGGAAGACAGGGCTTTTTGCACAAAAAACGTCATTTTTCGACCCACATTTGACCCCCCGGGGCAAAATCTGAATTCCAAAACCTTACTGCACATCTACCTGACACCACCAACCCTCTCCCAAAAGATGATTAGGCTACTGTGTAAAATGTAGGAGAAGTTCAGGGAAGACGGGGCTTTTTGCATAAAAAACGTCATTTTTTGACCCCCATTTAAACCCCTGGGGCAAAATCAAAATTCAGAAACATTACTGCACATCTACCTGACACCACCAACCATCTCCCAAAAGATGATTAGGCTACTGTGTAAAATGTAGGAGGAGTTCAGAGAAGACGGGGCTTTTAGCATAAAAAACATCATTTTTTGACCCCCATTTGATCCCCTGGGGCAAAATCAAAATTCAGAAACCTTACTGCACATCTACATGACCCCACCAACCATCTCCCAAAAGATGATTAGGCTGCTGAGTAAAATGTAAGAGGAGTTGAGGGAAAAGGGGGCTTTTTGTATAAAAAACGTTATTTTTCGACCCCCATTTGACCCCCCGGGGCAAAATCAAAATTCCGAAACCTTACTGCACATCTACCTGACACCACCAACCATCTCTTAAAAGATGATTAAGCTACTGTGTAAAATGTAGGAGGAGTTCAGGGAAGAAAAGTGTGACAGACGAACGGACGGACATGAATAACAACAATATACCCGAACTTTCCTTAGAAAGTGCGGGTATAATAAAATACTTAATATTTCTTGAACCTATTTAAATGCACCTGTATAACCATAAAAGAACTAGATGCTGTCATGAGACAGTAATACCCGCACTATGGTGTTTGCCTCTAAATACACACTCCTTCATATTGGACTTTCCAAGGAAGAAGTCAAAATAATTCTATAATTATCACCGTACATGTATTCGTCAAATTGAACATAAAATTTTCAGGTGACCATATGATCTATGAGCCTCACATATGTATTTTGAATACTTAATTCATTACCAGTCTGAAATAACAGAATTTAATTAATGATTGAAGTAAATTACTTAATTAGATTAAGATAAATTTTTTGCCCATAATTTGGAACTTTTTAAATTTACTTTCTCAACGACATATTATTTTAGTACAAAGCATTTTTGATGAATTTATCAAAATGTGCAAACTGATTTTAGTACTTGGTCGGGAAAAAAACCCATTGAAAATACAACCCGATTAATTTGTCAATGCCTATGTCTCTCTCTCCCCCCCCCCCCCCACACACACACACACACTCTCTCACACTCACATTTTTTAAAAAAAGACCTAGATGGCAAAGTTATGTTAAAACATAGTTTATTATGATAGTTTGAAATTTGTACTTGTACTAAACAGTTTTACGTGTGAACATCTTATTTTCTACATTCACATTGGGTTTGCGTCACCCATTATCATATTTATAGATATCACCTCTCGGCACACCTCGGCCGATTCATACTGGCAACGGAATCAGCAAAGGTTTGTCGAATGAGATTATTTAGCACATGTATGCTGACGATGCAGTGTGGTCAGTTAAAATCATTTGTGTTTTAATTGTATTATATGGATTATATTTCATGAATTCGTTGTCACGACCTATGACATTCGGTAAGTACAAGATTTAGTATAGATTGCATAAAAATAAATAAATGCAAATGGTTAGGTTGAAGTTCAAAAAGGGTCAAAGATCATCGCATGCCACAGTCGACAAATTTCACATTGTCAAGTTATCTCCCGTTGCGGACATTCAGTATATACAGGCGCAGATCCAGAATTTTTTTTTCAGAAAGGGGGGGGGGGTGTCACACCTCAGTCAAAAAAATCAGCCCAAGATTTCCTGAGAAGCAAATAAAAAATAATAATAAAAACAATGATGGTGGAGTCCCTGTTTTCTAAGGGGGAGGATGTCCAAGGTCATTTTTATTCTCTACAGTACATAGTCTTATTTAAATAACTGCTAATTCCAGGGGGGGGTGTGTCTGATCTCCCTAGCCACTGACTCCCTGTACCTGAAATGACAATTGATCTTATGACTCCATAATAGTAGAAATTTTTTTCATTTGACTATATATACATATTTTGTTTCCTATGTTTATGTATGTTTGTCTGTCCACAGAAACTTTAACCTTGCCCATAAGTTTTAAGTGGATTGGGCTATACACATGGCTTCAATATTTCATAGGTAAATTTCTTTTGGCAAAACCTTTTAATGGGTACCACCAATTTTGACCTCTTGATCTCTTGACCTTGGAGTTTGACCCATTTTTACAAGAAAAATACCTTAAACTTGGCCTAAGTTTTGAACAGTTGGTGCTAGGACTTTCATGCTCTAACATGTGTAATCATTGTGAACTTTCAACAGGTATAATTATTTTTGACCTAGACCTTAGAGTTGAACCCAATTTAACTTTAACCTTGGCAATAACTTTTGAACAGTTGAGGAAGTTCTAGGGATTTCTCTCTTTTTTCACATGTTTGTGTATTCCTTGTGACAAGACTTTCCCTTTGATACCAACAATTTTGAGCCTTTGACCTTGACCTTGGAGTTTGACTTACATTTGAGAAACTTCAACCTTTGCCAAAAGCTGCCATAACAGTTGCTGTCACAACAAACAAATAAATTACTAAAAAAACACAATATACATGTACATATTTTATATTCAACAAATATACATCTGGTCATATCTCTAGTTCTCCCTTGAATGAGACATGGTGATATAAATTTTAAAAAATAATTATGATAAGAGTTGAAAAGGTTGTGCATATTAAAATATACTAAGCTCTGCGGATGAATTAGATATACCAGTTTAGATATACCAGTTTTTATTTTGCTACCCAAAGCACCTTGATTAACTATTTATAAGCATACTGTTTTCTGAAATGTACTGATTTCTGTTGTCCATCTGTTTGTCTGCAAACTTTTCACATTAACTTCTTAAGAACCACTGGGCCAATTTCAACCAATTTACATTTAAATATGCAGGGGACTTTTTCCAACATAAATCTTCTTCTCAAGAACAGCAAAGACATTTATTGTCCCCCATTTTCGCTAAAGGTAGGGTACATTAAATCTCATTTGTTTATCAATCTGCCCATCTGTCACAATAAATTTAACCTTGCAACTCATCATGGTCATATATTTTGAATGAGAAGAGACAGGACTTTTATATTAAACATGTGTATTAGTATTAAATGGGACAATACCATTCTAAATACACTATGATTTTTAATACCCATGACCTTGAAGTTTGACCTAATTTCATAAACAAATTAATTGCTTTGAATTAATCATTTTGAAAGATAAATGAAAGGGCATTCATATTACCTGTGATAAGACCTTTCCAAATGTATCATGACTTTTTGACTCTGTGACCTTGACCTTGAAGTTTAACTTAGTTTTCATTAATGTTGTATTTCCTTTTCATTGAGAAGAGATTCGACTTTCACATTTCAAGTGAACATTACCCATAACAAGATGTTTCCCAACATGCTATGATTTTTTACCCCTTGACCTTGATGTTTTAACAAAATTTCAAAAGAGTGAACTCTCCCAAAAGAGGATAAGACCACTGTTTAAAACGAAAAAGGAGTTTAGGGAAGACTGGGCTTTTTCCATAAAAAACATCATTTTTCGACTCTTATTTGACCCCCTGGGGCAAAATCAAAACTCCGAAACTTAACTGCACATCTGCATGACTCGACCAACCATCTCTCAAAAGATGATTAGGCTGCTGAATAAAATGTAAGAGGAGTTCAGGGAAGATGGGGCTTTTAGCATAAAAAACATCATTTTTCGACCCCCATTTGACCCCCCAGGGCAAAATCAAAATTCAGAAACCTTACTACACATCTGCATGACCACACCAACCATCTCCCAAAAGATGATTAGGCTGCTGAGTAAAATGTAAGAGGAGTTCAGGGAAGAAGGGTCTTTTTGCATTAAAAAAGTCATTTTTCGACACCCATTTGACCCCCCAGGGCAAAATCAAAATTCCAAAACCTTACTGCACATCTACATGACCCCACCAACCATCTCCCAAAAGATGATTAGGCTCCTGAGTAAAATGTAAGAGGAGTTCAAGGAAGACGGGGCTTTTTGCATAAAAAACATCATTTTTCGACCCCCATTTGACCCCCCGGGGCAAAATCAAAATTCCAAAACCTTACTGCACATCTACATGACCCCACCAACCATCTTCCAAAAGATGATTAGGCTGCTGAATAAAATGTAAGAGGAGTTCACAAGATAGAGCTTTTTGCTTAAAAAACGTCATTTTTAAAACCCCCATTTGACCCCCTGGGGCAAAATCAAAATTCCGAAAGCTTACTGCACATCTACATGACCCCACCAACCATCTCCCAAAAGCTGGTTAGGCTGCTGAGTAAAATGTAGAAGGAGTTCAGGGAAGACGGGGCTTTTTGCATAAAAAACGTCTTTTTGACCCCCATTTGACCCCCCGGGGCAAAATCAAAATTCCAAAACCTTACTGCACATCTACATGACCCCACCAACCATCTCCCAAAAGATGATTAAGCTACTGTGTAAAATGTAGGAGGAGTTCAGGGAAGAAAAGTGTGACAGACGGACGGACGGACGGACAGACGGACGGACGGACATGAGTAACAACAATATACCCGAACTTTCTTTGGAAAGTGCGGGTATAATTATTATTTTAGTGTTTGAAAATCAACAAAAGGAACACATTTTTATGAAATGCTTACAGGTGAGCCAGAGTATTGCAAGCTACTTAACAATACGAAACATATCATGATATGGCCAAACAATACAACAAATATCATGATACAGCTGTCAACAATTAAATTTACTGATATCTTTACATATTCTTGCTTGCTACTGCTAGCCTCCACAGTTATAGAAAATATAAAAAGAATATCTTGAGAACCCTTATGGGGTGGACTTGTATTCTTAGCATTGTATTTTTTGTTGCTACCATCTTTTCAATCATTTTGTAACGTTAAAATTTCTCAGTTTGCATGTAGAATTTTCAAACAAAACAATGAAAATTAACTTCTACTGTATCATGATACATGTATATACATAGCCATATGATATGCATAACGTGAGACCTTGCAATCAATACAATCGATCTATCACAGTATTGTTACACCTCTACTTACAGGTAGACTGTTTATTGGAAATTCGTAGAATGAATCAGTCATCAGATTGTACACTAGAGACAGGAGGGTCCCCTCGGGGGCCAGCAGTCTTCTGAGGTTATCAAAGTCCTGGGAATTGGAGGATCTGTTGATCAAGTCTAACCCCCAGCCAGGATTTTGTCCATACCCAAATATGTTCTCCAGTAAAAAAGGCAGCACATTCTTTAATTCCTAATGAAAAGAATATCATCAGTTCAGATGTTAATATTATTCAAATACCATTAAACACTGTGTGAGCAGTCGATAAGAAGTGGAAGGCAAACTGGAGGCAAATTTTTGAAAATATCTTGTTCACAGTTGAAATTTTTCACATGTAATCTGGGTAATTCATAATCTTGATAATGGGAGATAGTACCGAGTTTTGTTCCCCTTTATTCCACTGGGTGGCGATACTACATGTATTCCCATTTCAGAGCATTTTGTTTAAATTGGATGTGAGATATAATTTCAGAATGAAATGATTAAAATGGTTTAAATGGTTAAACCATATTTGTTCACTTGCTTGGAAGCATTTAAATATGGAAGAGGTACCTTTGTACTTGTATTCTTCAAAACTTTCTCCAGTTCTAAGCATCTCTGGTATAATGGTTTTACAGAGTTCAAATTCTGAACTTGTGACTGAAAAAATAATATAAATAACAATTAACACTATATTAATACAAGTATACTAATAAGTGACATAGATACCTGTTGCATACTGAGCTCTGTGGACCAAATGTATAATGAACAGAGGACATTTTAGTTCAAATCTACTCACTGCACAAGAAAATTTGTTGAATCCACGTCAAAAATTCTTTAGCAATCAATCCTCTTTGGGCATCACAAAATTAAAATTGAAAGAGTATATACTATATTATACAGAACTTATACTGCCTCGCTAGTGAGCTAGCTTTCTGGTGAGTTTCCATTTCAAGCAAGTTAAGCAACGGCAAGCATGTTTAACCCTTGGAAGTTGACGGACTTCATGTTACAAAACTGATGGCAGCATCATGATTCTGGTGTTTGGTGACCTGCTTCAGGAAGTCTTAGAGCTAGGAATTTATGTCCATTTACAAAGTTTGTGTCTGTGGACGGCAGGGGTTGTTGTGACTGAAGAGGTTCTAGGCCTACTTCAGGAAGCTTTATGGGTAGGATTTTGTGTCTACGTACAGACTTCGTGTCCAGGAACGGCAATGGTTGCTGTTACTGAAGAGGGTCAAACACTCAGTCCGAACTCATGCTAAGCTTTGGGTCAAAGCTTCCCTGAGCGGAAGGAAGTGAAGCAAACAGTATATAGGGAACTTGTACTGCCTCGCTAGCAGCTAACTTTCGAGTGATGCTTATTTCAGGTAAGTTTTAACATACATGTTAACCTATTGTGATGAAAAAGAGGGAGATTCAGACCTCAAAAGCGGTAGTATTGCGCACGTGTTGTTTAACGCTTGGATTATCGATATCTTTCATGTAATATACATGTATATTATAAGCCATTTTGAAATCTTACCTACACTAATTTATCTTAAATATCAACAGCAATAAGAAGACAGAAACACCTTAAGTTTGACATAAATTGTACAAATTCAAATATTTTTCATGCTCATCATTTTGCTTGGATTGGCTGCTTTACTTAGCCTTTTGAAGAGTGATCTTTGCTGAAATAGCCTAGAAGCAATAATTCTGAATGTTCATTCAGTTTTTAAACAAAACAAATGATGGCATGGTTTAATCTAGATCTAAAACAGGTTCGTATCTTTCGTTATATAAATCAGATCGAAAACGAAAGTAGAGACACATGGCTTGGTCAATCGAGTGATTTCTATTGACTTTATTGATAAAGTTGTGAGCTTCTGTGCTTTTGAAGACGATGTCAAATGTTTTCATCTAATTCTTAAAAGCTGTATCTCATTTTTCATGGCAGGGATGTTGATTAATTTATCGTAACCAATGTAATCACTGGTAGTCTTATGTTGTTGTCGTTGTCAAATCCGTGCTTGAAATCTATGCACAAAAAAAGCGTTTGTATGATTGCGAGTCAAATCACGCGATATCTAGCGAGATTTTATGAGAGTGGCTTCAAAAATGGATACCCAAGCGAACCAAAAATACTTTAGACGCAGCTTTTGTAGAAAAGCGGTAGATTTCATTGAATTAAATCGGTAGGCGGGAGATGGAGTAAAAAGCGGTAGACTCCCGCCTAAATCGGGAGAGTTAACATGTATGGTTTTAAGCAACAGCAAGCATGTTCAACCTTTGGATGGATGACTGCTCCACATTACAAATGGTTCAATTTCCACATATGAGTAGTCACACACTTGTGACTTTTCTGTCTATTTCGTTAAAAATATTTGAAAAAAAACTATATTGAAATTCTTTTCAAGCTATTTCAAATAGTAAATCTATTGAACAACATGATAATTGAATAACTTAATAAAGCTTTATTGTTGATTCAAACTATGTAATACTAAATCAAAAGACTGTTTGATATGTAATTGAGAGTTTCTCAGAAGACAAATAAGGGGTCAGCCACCTCCTACAATAATTGACTGCATGAAAGTGTATTTGTAAAAATAATTTGCACACATTCCTACATGATTTCTAGAAATTCAAACGAGAACAAACAATCTCAACACCATTTCTATATTTTCCTTGTTTTCTGTTGAAATTCAAAATAGCAAGACTCTTTTAAAACACTAGAAATCTCTTTCTAAAAAGGATATCTACCAAAATTTGATTTCCAATCATGGAAGCCGCCATTTTTAAATAATTTTAAATTAACTCGAACATCGAATGTTTCATACTTTTTAAATCTCATTTAAGGAGACGCAGACATACATTCCAATATTTGGTCACTTTTGATGGCATTTTTTCTAAATAAAAAGAAATGAATAATATTTGTATGTCTGAAGAGGGTTAAATAATTTAACGTTGGAAATTTAAATCGGAACTCTTCTATATAGAAAACAACATTTGGTGTAATGAGGAATTTCAGAGGTTTTTCGGTCTGTTTTGTGTTGTAGGGAAAAAAAAAGATGAGCAGAACGGGTGCAGAAATACGTGCAAGGTAAACGATTGATTAACCTTTATGTTCGCTTATACTCATTACTTTATGACAATTATGAATGATCATTTATTAAGTCGGATAAGCGGAGGGCTTCTGTTTCATGATTTGACTTGTTTGCAAGTTTGTTTACTCAAGGTATGGGTCCCAGGGACCAGGGCAGTAAACTGAGATAAATACAGTATAAATTAATAAGTTATTTGTTCTTACTTTCAAGACAATTATTTGTTTTATTATAAGATTTGTCATTTCTCATTTATTGAGACAAGAATTGATGTTCCTTGGTTCAGAGTTCCTGACCCAGCCAAGGTTAGAACAAGTTGGTCTTAAAATGGAAATGCATCACATCTTTAATCAGAAGTCAGATTATTTAGCATGTTTAACAGGCAAACTCGTGGCATAATTTTAATGACCAAGTTGATGTCGACTAAGATTGTGAAGTTCTTGTTCCCGAGGTCCACTATATATGTGGGGGTAGGGAGTTGGTTAAACTGAAATTCTTTGTCTGTCAGACAAATACTTATAAGATTGTACTGTACAGTTAGTGTCATAGTAATGGACTTAATATCAGGTGTTTAACACACATATAATGGTATGGGTGTACTTAGAATAATCTAACTCAGTGTCTCAGGAAAAATCAGGTCTCTAAGACATTTATCATTTTAATGATGGAACATTTATCTATAGGGTGTACTAAATAAGCACTTAACAGTAATTTTTAAATTAGAATAAATTTAGGGTGTTTGAAGACTGCTTTCAGAGTATATGGTCTTGTAAAAGTTTACAACAGCAAATAAAATCTTAACTTAAGAAATTCTGTGATATATATGTCAATTAGAGTTTTATATGCTTTTAAGCAAACAAAAACCAAACCAAAGAAGCTGGATTAAACGAATGATGGGTAATGATTCTAAAGGGCAGTCCAGGTATATTGTTATGTTACATTCTTTGTTTATTTTGGCTAGCATAGATTATGTTTGTACTCCAGAGAGGCATGTTATTATTTCTCCTGCTTTTATCACTTGTGCATGTGAATTGTATAGTAAGGACAGCATGTTGCATGAGCATGACAGAGACAATACCTGTACATGTGGGGGAAAGGGGGTACCTTCATTTAGAATTTGGTTGTATACAATATCTGATATTGTAACCATGTTTGATATGCATATACCTAGTATTTAATATTGCTTGCTTGTAAAAAAAAAAATGATTTCAGGGATTATATATTTTTTTATTGCGATATTATAATAATACTTAGTTTTGTAAATGCATTATTTACAGTCCTATTATTATAAGGTAATTTATTTGATAATGTTTTATTTTAGGTAGATATACTAATATCATTAATTACTACCTGTACCAAAATGTTATACCTCAAATATGAAAAATATTAATGTTAACCATTTGAATGCTGCTCCATTAAAAATGATAAACCTAATTTTTAATGCTTTTCCTTTTTACTACCATTAAATGGCTAGAATAGACCTACTGCATGTCTTGATTCATGTAATTTCTTGAAATGTAATTAATTTATCATTTGGATTAAATGTGCAGCTGCTAAACTAAAAATCTGTGTTATTATGTTTGGTGTTGGGTCTCAAATGAAACAAATCTGTTGATGTAAAACAAACACATGAAAAAAAAAATGAAAAGCAGAAGTATTAAATGCTCAAAAACCAAAAATGGCTGATGTAATATGCTATGAAAGAATGAATCATTGACAAATGCTGTAACACATTTCATCTTTAGCCCATTAGAATATACATACATCCTTACCATGCTTACCATTTAAATTATAATGCATGTTATTGATACTCATACAATTGTTGACTGTGACAATACAATGATGAATAACTAGTTCTCATTGCAAGTGATTAAGACAAATCAATGTTGTTTATTTATGTACCATTTACACATGTTTGTGTACCCAGGTGCATGTTTATATTTGAAATATTTATGTCTACTTTTGTCCATGGTATTATTACATGTATTTATTTTGGTAAACTGAAATTATTAACAAACCTCGAATTTATTATTGAAATAATGTATAATGGGAAATTTTAGTGACCTTTCAATTTTAGCTTATATTAGCAATATAGCTACAGAAATGCTGTTCCCTGGTTGAGAAAATTTTGTCAGATAATACTAGTTCATCTGTCCAAATTTTCTCAGTTAGAGAGGGAAATTCCTGGAATGCTTGAAAATGAATGTCTCTAAAAAATTATAGCTCAAATATTGTCGTTTGCTGGTCACTAAAATAACCCATTATATAGTATCTATATTGATATGCCTTCAATTGCTCTTATTATTGTTTAATTATTTTATCCTAATGGTCAACAGATATGAAGTAAATTAATGTTATTATTCTTTTTACCCTTTTAAATTTTGTATTCTCAGTATCATTTAACTAAAAACCTTTCAATATGATAAATCTATATTTTAAAAGGACACGTAAATTATTTTTGCAAAACATGTATCATGTGTATATCAGATTTCTGCCTGAACTTTAATATTTTTTCTGCATCTGATCTTGCAGTGAGAACAAAGTCAAGCTGATACAAGAGCGTATAAACCTTGTGGAGCGACACTTTGGTCAGCTGTGTGATGATGTGGCATCTTACACGCGGAAATGTGCCCGCCTCAGGGATAAAGGTAAAATATAGCAGTGTGTGACGATGTGGCATCTTACACACGGAAATGTGCCCGCCTCAGGGATAAAGGTAAAACAGCATCTCAGTATCATCATTAACATCAGTAATGGTACCTTTCAGGATAAAGGTAAAATAGGTAAAATAACAACTGAAACATCAATGAAGGAAGCTTTTATGATAAAGGGAGAAATATCAGCTGTCTTATCAGTAAAGGCCTTTAGAATAAAGTAATTAATGTAGCAGTGCTATTACATCATAAAGGTAGGCTATTAAAGATAAATAGATTCTGTTCTCTCTCTCAAGAAAGCATTAGGGACAATATAAATCATTAATCGTCATTATTATGTAGGTGAAAGAAGTCTAATATTAGTAATTGTAATTGTCAAGGTTAGACACTCTGTATTCTGTGATTATTAAACACAGAGCAACCAATGTCTCTCCTGCATATGCCCTAAACTTTCTGAATGCTGAATACAAAGTTATAAAAGTAATCAATTTTCTGTATGTCAAGGTAAAGGGAGTATCAAGATCACTTACTATGTCTTATCATCTTGCAAAATAAAAATCATTTACATATTTGAATGTTAGAACAATATGGAAGATAAGAATTCTTGTCTGGACAAGGTGGTAATAGAAAAGCATGAGGATCATTCAGTGTATATTCCTTCAATGGAGACATAATACACTGTATAAAGTAGTCGCAATTAAGATTTCCTAAAAGAGGAATGAATCAATCCTAGCTGTGATCTTCCTCTAGGTTGACAATTGCTTGATACTGCCTTACTGGGTGTCACTTTAGAAGCTCTAGTGTATGTTGCCATAAGATATTGTCCTACATCCATAAAAACTACAATGAACATCATGAACATACAAGTATAATTTTGCTTTGCTGTAGGTGATCAGATAGCGAAGGACCTGGTGGATTATACAGATGCTGAGACCTATAACCCCAGTATGGTCAGGTCACTGTCAGAGTTTGCTTCAAATCTGTCTTCAGTTCAGGACTACAGACAAGCTCAGGTACAGACTTATTAGATGACTGTAAACAAGCTCAGGTACAGATTGGTGACAATGTCTTATTACATGACTGTAAACAAGCTCAGGTACAGATTGACGACAGTGTCTTATTACTTGACTGTAAACAAGATCAGGTACAGATTGCTGACAATGTCTTATTACATGACTGTAAACAAGATCAGGTACAGATTGGTGACAGTGTCTTATTACATGACTGTAAACAAGCTCAGGTACAGATTGGTGACAGTGTCTTATTACTTGACTGTAAACAAGATCAGGTACAGATTGATGACAGTGTCTTATTACATGACTGTAAACAAGCTCAGGTACAGATTGGTGACAGTGTCTTATTATATGACTGTAAACAAGCTCAGGTACAAATTGTTGACATTGTCTTATTACATGACTGTAAACAAGATCAGGTACAGATTGCTGACAATGTCTTATTACATGACTGTAAACAAGATCAGGTACAGATTGGTGACAGTGTCTTATTACATGACTGTAAACAAGATCAGGTACAGGTTGCTGACAAGCTCAGGTACAGATTGGTGACAATGTCTTATTACATGACTATAAACAAGATGAGGTACAGGTTGGTGACAGTGTCTTATTACATGACTGTAAACAAGCTCAGGTACAGATTGGTGACAGTGTCTTATTACATGACTGTAAACAAGCTCAGGTACAGATTGGTGACAGTGTCTTATTACATGACTGTAAACAAGCTCAGGTACAGATTGGTGACAGTGTCTTATTACATGACTGTAAACAAGATCAGGTACAGATTGGAGACATTGTTTTGTTCTGTGACAAGCTCGGGTATGGATGGATGACATCGTCTGGTTACATGATTGCAAACAAGAATAGTTACAGTCAACAGACATTGTCAGATTACAGTTTTATTAACAAGTTCAGGTTCAGATAGGAGACATTGCCTAATTTCAATACTTTAATCAAGCTCAGGTATAAAAAGGTGACATCATGTTTTCCATGACTTTAAACAGCTCAGGTATAGAAAGGTAACTGAACAAGCTTAGTTAATTGTAAAATGACATTATCATATTATGAGATTGCATTGTTAAATGACATTGCCTCACTGCAAGACACATATGGTTTATTGAAGAAATTATATCCACTTTTTATTTTTGAACCAGAATTTATGGGGTTCTTCTTTCTTCTCTGTTAGTCAAGATTTGTCTAGAAAACAAATCTTAGTCCTATAAGGATTGCTTTTGTTAATTTTTTAATACATTTAGATATAAATGATTAATTTCATGACATTAAAAAGTATCATTCTTCAATGTAGGTAACAAGGCTGGAAGCCAAGGTTCTAACACCTCTTGCAAATTATGGACTAAAATGTAAACAAGCTAAAAATGATATCAAGGAGGGAATGAAGACACAAGAACTAGAAGTCACCCAGCGTAAGAAGCTGGAAAAACTGCGACAGAAAGCACCTGCTAACAGAGCCCAGCTGACAATGGCCGAGACAGAGCTACAGAAAGCCAGCGTCAAGGCATCAGCCATCACAAAGAATCTAGAACAGCTGATTGATAAATTTGAGGAGGAGAAATTAAAAGATCTAAAGGTATATTGGATAGGAACAGATGGATATCACACATTTACATAAAGTATTTCCTACTGCAAAATAATGTTAATACACATGTACTTATCGATATAGGGAGATCATTGTGGATAATGTTTAATTTGATTTTATTAAACCAGTATTTCATTATCATTCATTCCTTACAGAAACAAAATGAATAAAGTGTTCCATAATGATAAACAATTGTACATCTGAATATACATATATTTATAGTACATGAAATAGTAATCTTGTGATTTTATGCTCAGAGTTATGAAATAATTTATTTTTGTTTCACTTCAACAGAAAATATTGACAGACTTTGTCAACATTGAGATGATCTACCATGCCAAAGCTTTAGAAATGTACACAGAATGTTTCCAGAATATTAAATCATTTGATTTGGATGAAGACGTAGAGGTATAAACAGTGTAAAATTAATCAGATATGTTTTCTAAAGCCAGTTTGAGACTCAGGTGGGATTCACTTCTGGAAGTTGGTCCATCCATTTTAAATATGTTATATGTATCTGCATATTGAATTAATTAGTAAAATTAATTTGGATATAGATTTCTTAAAGGCCAAGAATTTTTTCAATTTCTTGATTCATATAAAGTTATCATATATTCATTACTAGTACATTGTAACTTTTTAATTCATTAGGAATTTAGGTCCAAAATGCAGCCATCAAATTCTGCCACCAGAATGAACATGGTGAGGTCTTCCTCATACACATCGCTGGAGTCAGCGGAGGACCGCCCCCCACCGTCCAATCTCCGACGACAACAGTCGGCCCCCACCAGCCGTAATGTCACCCCCACCAAGTCAGCCAACACTAGTGCCTCATTACCTCTCAAGTCCACTGTGGATTCCAGGGTACAACCATATGTTTTATGCTCATCTAGGCCTTTCTCGTCAAAATGTGTCTTACTTTTTTAAAACAAAAATTCACAATCTTAAAAATTCCTAAAAGTGTAAATGGAGACAATTTTATTATTCTATTCTATACGTTTTCGTCTGTCGTCGTGCGTCGTGTGTCGTGTGTTAACATTTGAACATTTTCAGCTTCTTCTCTGCATTTACTAAAACCAATTTCAACCAAATTTGGTATACAGCATTAATGGGTGAAGGGGAACAAAAATTGTGAATTTCATGGTCCTTGCCCCCGTGGGTACTCGTGGGTGGGGCCAAAACCACTAAAATTAGTGCAATCAAAAAAATAATCTTCAAGTGGTATTTCTAAAATTACTCCTGGACATCAAAAAGTCAAACTGTTGGCATGAATGAAATGAGCATTGAGTCCTCTACCAAAATTTTGAAATTCATGGCCCCAGGGTCAGGGGTTCTAGTGTTAGGGTGGGGCTATATAGATTATATAGTGAAAATACATTAATTCTTAGAAAATCTTCTTCTCTGCTTCTGGGTATTTAATAAACTAACTAAGTACATAGTTATGGTGAGCAAGAGTGCTTCTTTCAAAGTTATGAAATTCATGGCCCCAGGGTCAGGGGTTCTAGTGCTAGGGCGGGGCTCTATAGATTTTATAGTGAAAAGACATTAATTCTTAGAAAATCTTCTTCTCTGCTTCTGGGTATTAAATAAACTAAACTAAGTACATAGTTATCATGAGTCTCAAGACCACCCTATTTTTTGGCTGGTTCATGGCCCCTGGGTCAGGGGTTTTGTCATTTGGTGTGTGTGTGGGGGGGGGGGGGCTCTAATAATTGATTATATAGTGAAAATATATTAATTCTTAGAAAATCTTTTCCTTTGCTCCTAGGTATTATGCCAATGATCTAAGTATATATATTTATGATGAGGAAAGGTGCATCTAGCATCGAGCAAAATGATTACTTTCATGCCCTGTGGGTCAAGTATTTTGGGGAGGGGGGGGTATTACATAGTCTGAAAATAAATCAATGCTTTGAAATCTGCTCTTTGGTATTAATCAACCATTTATGATGAAATAAAATTTGATAAAATTTCCAAAATTTTGAAATATTTGGCCCAGGGTCAGTGGTTCCTGTGGGGTGGGGTGCACAACTGGTTATAAAGTGGAAGTGCATTTTCTCTTTGTTATTCTGATCTACCTCTGGGTATTAAGTAACTAGAGTAAGCATGCTAAGTGTATAATTATGATAAGCAATGGTGCCTCTTTCAAACTTGTGAATTTAAATCATGGCCCCTGGTTTAAAACGCGAACCAAATTCAATTGTTGGAAAGTTGTTACATGATACTCAGGTGACCTATAAGGCCCGTGGGCCTCTTGTTATATCAAGGGATGTAGAGATTCATATTTTAATTACCTGTATTTTCAAGTTACACTGTAGTTTTCTGTGAAAAACTTGAAATGCATGTAAATAGAGCAAATTGAGCACTTGAGCTTGAAGTCCATGAAAATCACTGTATTATATTACTGGTAATGCATTTAGTACACTATAAATACAATCTGATATTTTAGAATGGTTTGGATGATGAAGAATCGGAGGAAGATGAAGATGATGAAGAGGAATCTGATGACGACGACGATGATGATGATGATGATGATGACGATGAATACACAGAGACGGAGACAGCTCGTACAGAGACAGCTAGATCCACCGCACGGACAGACAAACCATCAGGTCAATCAGAAAAGACTGTCATTAGGCCGCCCTCTAGTCTGATAAAGAAGGTCTCCCAGTGAGGCCTCAGTGACGGAGAGTCTGTAAATCAAGTCTGATGACATCATCAGTGATTAGTTTGGCCCTCATCAACACAGCTCTGTTAACCAAACACAAGGCATGGATTCAGGTGGAAAATTAGGCTATGCAATATTTATGTAAGAAATAAGTTTTAATTCTTGTGCCTACTTGTACTTATGAAATTTAAAGGTTTCCTGCCATCTACTATTGAAATTTGAAGAGAAGAGATTAGAGATTTATACACTTGGAATTCTGTAAAGTACAATAATTATCATGTATATTAATGCATGTGTATAAGTAAAGTATGTCTTAGTTAACTTTTGAGAACACATATATCTTTAATATTTTCAACAAATATTAAGTATTGGTGCTCATGTGATGAACAGAACTGTACTGACAAGTGGTTGTTTTTGAGAGTCTGAATATTTTGTATACAGTGAATTTATGCATTTTCTGTGAATGGTTCACACATCCGTCCAGCATTTATCAATAACCAAGTTGTTATTTAGTATTGTGATATTTTAAAGGTTAACAATGTATTTGGTTGTTGATTTTAAGATTACTTTATTAATTGCCAAGAATAACGTGTTATTTATTATATTTCATTTCCCTCTTTCGAAAAGTGCATTGACATTTTACTTTTTTGGTTATTCCAGTAAGAAGCTTAATTTATATATGATACTTTTATGATATAAACCCATGTTTAAAAAATATTTAATGGCAGTTTATATTTTGTGCCATCATCATAATATGTATATTACATAGGATATTTTAATAGGTTGGAAGGAAAAAATACAAGGGTTTTCTATTAAAAAGCATGAATTTAAAAAAATAATCTCAGGAAATCTATAGATCTTGCATAAATCTATATTTACAACATGAGTACATTTACCAGTACATGTACAAAGCATATGATCTGCCATCAATATTTTTTGTTAACTACCACTCATTAATATATCATTTTAGTGCAATTGTTATTTATTTTTAAAAAAATATGCCCTTTTACAAGAAATTGGTTCACAAATGCAAAATAAATTTTTCAAGAAAATATAATCTAGAGAGCCATTTTGACATGACCAGTTTTGTTGTGTATTTTCAAATATCCTCATAAAATTCAAATTTTAAAAAAAATCATGCTATTTCCATCAAAAATTTATACTGGTATTTGTAATATCTGCCTTGAAAGGAAATTTAACATTCGTCAAAAGGGTAGAAAAAAAGAGTTTTTATATGTTATTAGATTATATGGCATAAAAATCAACAGGTTGTGAGACCAAGAAAACCTGCATTTTAGATAACTTTATAACAGTATTTCTGGGCCAATTCTTTTTCACCTTGCCACAGTACACTGAATTTCACATTTTGTATTTATTATAATATCATTATAGCATGAGTAAATTTACTATTTGTTTCGTAGTATTGTTTTTAATATTTCTTGTTTGCATTTGTGAAAGTTTATACTATAAATATGTAATAGTAACATGTTAGGTATTTTGTCACAAAGATTTGAAATCTGGTTTATTATATAGAACCATGAAAGAATAATTTTGGTTTTCTTGTAATCTAAAGAAAGTATCATTTGGGCCCATGTTATTTGTAGCTAATATATAAATTTAATTTCAATATTTACTTGCCAGCAGAATAAAGAAAACCTGTACTGCTTGACAAAAATGAACTGTGTAATTGATATGCCATATGTATTTTGCACGGTATTACGCACTCCTCTGTTGTTGTTTTTTTTTCAGCCACTCTATTAATATAAAATTGGTAACTTTTTAAATGAATCATTATAATAAAAATTATCACTTGAAACTTTATTATAGACAAACGTACAAATTTATACATGTATGTTTTGAGATTGAAGTTACATAGAATCTCATTCTTACAGAATTTTGTTTCATATATTCTAATGCCTATAGACTCTGATTTGTTTTTATATTATTATTTACAGGTACATACACTTGAAATTTTTCTTTGAATATTAAATTATTATTTGTGTCGAATATCGTTTCTGGCAGTGTATTGAGAAATAACTTTTGCACTACGCTGTTAATGCAATGCACAGTCTGTGATGCAAGGACAGATTCTACACACAAATGTTTGATAAAAAGCAGTTCAATAAAATCATAATTATAGAGAAATATTCTTCTAATTTTTGTAGAGATTAAAGTTACCAATACCAGATTCCTGATGTGTGCAAAAACTTTGGATTCTCCATGACTTGTTGAATTGTGCTTTCATTTGAATTTTGACAGTACACATCTTTAACAAAATTGTTTGGTTTTACTTCAGAATTAGAAACAGAGGCCTATGGGCCACATCACTCACCTGAGTTTTTAAGCTTCAGCTGGAAAAATGAGAAAAGTTTAAAAATAAATTGGTTTTGGGGAGAGGAGGTCATGATTTGAAAAACTGGATTCTACATTACTGAGGATGATTCAACATAAATTTCATTTTTTTTTTATACCAGTATATTAATACTTATAACAAAGTACCAGGGACAGACGATCTTGCTTTGTTGATAAACTTAATTTTTTATATCCGTTAACTTTAAAATATGTTTAAAACCCAGGAGGAATGAAAATCTCTTCGCTATAAGCATAAATTCATTTGTATTTCACATACAGTCAACAAGGAAAACCATCGGATAATTGATCAATAATAAAGTCAGTGCTATGTTCTAAAATTTAATAGCTAAAAATAAATGACTGTACAAAACATGCTACAATACATTGGTTTAAATGAATTACCAGCTAGTAGAATGAATAAAATATTCACTAAAACTTAGGACAATTCGAAAATGTTCAAACAAAATTCAAAATACATGTGCATGTATTCAGACAAACTCCCATGTATTGTGAAGTTTTATTTTCATGGTGATGTTAAATTTCGTTGTGTGAAGATCCAACAAATTCATGTTTGTCCATTGTCGCAAATCACTGCCAAATTTGTGATCCTCTCTCGGAGAGATGAGGACTCCGGATAGTGGCTTGAGACATTGATGTCCACCAAGAAATGTAAATTTTATACATATAACTATACTCATAAATTCAAATCCCTAAGAACAATTTTTTTCATTTGAAATATAGCTTCATAAAAATTTGTCATTTTACAGTATACACAAGTAATTAAGGTGAATATTGCTTGTCATTTCTATTTTACAAAAGAATACAAAATACTGGGTGCTATATATACTATTATATATCTATGATTGATAGTGCAACTGGTCCCTTGATACTTGTCAAGTCTTTTTTATGAAGAAAAACTGAAATTATATAACAACACTAAAATAAACTTCTACAGTCAATGTGCACTTCACACAATATAAAATAATACAGCATGTATCAAATCATGCAATCAAAACATATATATTGGACCACAAAACTTGGCGACTATGTTATAATCATCTTTCTCTTAATTATAGAATATATAAAAATTCACACAATACATATACATCTATTTCAATTTTTTTTCATTTTTAAATGAAGTACATAAAGAAAATCAAGTATTGCTGTAATACGTGGATTCCCTGATTTGCTCATGTCATCTACTGCTGTGGCTTTTAGACCTTGTGTCGTTGTGCATTGTCCGTTGTATGTGTGGATGAGCACCTTTTTTGGAACCATTGAATCAATTTCATTTTCAACTTGTGCATAAGTTAATGGGGAACAAAAATTATGAAGTTCAGGGACTCTGACTCCCTAGGTTTTGAGGGGATATAACCAACATCATAAAAAGTTTAAAATAGGCATTATTTGAGTATTGCATTTGCAATGCTAGTCCTCTATCAACAAGAGTAATCATTTTCCCATTAAAAATTGAAAATGTCATAATTCCATAATTGGGTGGGAAAAAACACCTTTGATTAATCTCTTCAACCAAGTGATAATTATTATAGTTACTTGTCAGCAGTTCACATAGAAAAAAAAATAAAAAATGTACCCTTTAACATGTTTAAGGGTTTTCTTAAAGAGTATAATTATCACATTTTAAAGAACTATTTCATAGCTATGCATGTATATCACATTACAATCTGTTTTACCACTCTTTTTGGTCAATAGCAGAATTTTTCTAAATGTTGCTATGTGAAAACATTGTAAATTTTTACCTAATTATCAATTTAATTTAAGAAGTCATCATAAAAGTACAATGCTGTAGTTAGCAAAAATGCACTGTATGTTTGCTTACTCGGCTTAGCAGTATGGCATTAAATCATACCCCAAAAGCATTTCAGCTATTGGCTCACTCAAAGAAAGAAGCTTGAAGGGTGGGTGCTCACATATCATTTTTGCATGAGGCAGTGAATCTGTGATCCAGAAATTTTCAAATTTGACTTCAGAATCTATAAACTTTCTCCAGGACTCGTTAGGAAACACAGCATGGGTGACATAGGCACTGACTTTTACTGCTCCTTTCTCGTACAATGCTTTGGCACACTCTCGCAGTGTTCCTCCAGATTGAACCAGATCGTCAATGATAAGAACATGTTTTCCAGCAGGGTTTCCGTCTTTGACTTTCACAATCCTACGATTGCCATCCCTGATCTTAACACATGTAATAGGATCGTCACCAGGAAAAAAAGTGTGGAACCTTTTGCATGCTCCATCATCAGGAAATGCAACACTCATGCTGTTAAAATCAGGCAGGGTTTTCATTTCCCTCAGCAATAGAGGAACAGCAGATTCAAGCCTTGGGATGACATTGTCTGAGAAGTAAAATCTTTCTTGAAGTGCATGTATGTCAAATATGACAATCTGAGCTGGCCCTTTCGTTGTCAGTGGTATGCCTGATAATAATGTTGCCATAGTTTTTGCTGTAGCTATCTGCCCCTCTGTGTCAACACGTTCCATGGTTCCAGTTGGAAAATAAGGCATTATGAAGTGAAAGGAACGCGCTAAATATCTTGGGAACATGTACAGAACTGACAGCTGCTCAAAAACAATATCGGGAGAGTGGAAACTCCCAATGAAGATGACATCCTTTCCTGCCATGTATTTGACATCCTCAATGAACAAATTTGGAAACCCATCTGGAAAAGATTTCCACTTAATGGTTTTTCTGAACTGGACTTCTCGGGGTCTAGAGACACTTCCCGAAATTGAGAAAGAACGTACACCACGGAATACTTGCTTCTCCTCCTGCTGTTCTTTCGGACGAGTAGAACATATATTGGCAATATTTTCTGCTAATGCTTCCATTGAAGGATGTGCATAGAGCAGAACTGGGCTGTCATCCCCATTCATGCTGCAACTGCAAAATAACAAAATGACAATCTAATCTACGTCGTTGACTCGTTCTTAGTTTCGATTCGATGTTATGTTTGTTTTGTTTTCGAAGAGTAAATTTTATTGTATTCTCGATCCCGGTCTTAATTTATTCGGAGACCTTGCAGGTGTCGGCAACTTTGTATAATTTTACCAATGACTGTAATTGTTTCTGTGCCAATAAAATATCTGAAATAGAGCACTCTATGCATAAATCAGAAAAAAAACTTCCGCGAATAAACGCGAAAATTCGCACAATATAACGCGTAAATTTCACGTAGTACATGTACTTATAACGCTTTTAAATTTGTGAATTTCATGGTAATCTATTGATTACATTATTCCTTAAAAATCTCTGCTCCTGGGTATTAAACAAACTATAAATTGAGTAGATATATAGTTATCATGAGCAAGGATGCCTCATACAAAATTGTAAATTTCTTGGCCCCAGGGTTGGGGATTCTAGTGGAAGGGGGTTCTATTGATTATTGAATAAAAAATGCATAATAGCTTTGAAATATTCTTTTCTGCTTCTGGTTAGTTATGTACAATGCTTGTTTTAGAATTGTGAGTTTCATGGCCCCTGGGTCAGATGTTCTGGTGTAAGGATGAGGCTCTATTGAAAATACATTAATTCTATTGATTAATCCTCTCTGCTCCTTAGTGTTGAGCAGATAAACAAATTGTGTCGTTATGATGGAAAAGTAGCTTCTAAGAGAATTTTTAAACTTGTGGTCCCAGGGTCAGAGGTTCTTGCATAAGGGGGGAGCTTTTGATAATATAGAGGAAATGTGAATTCTTTGAAGTGCATAGTTATGATGATAAGGGTAACTTTCTTGACCCTGGGTCTTGGGTTCTGGTGTTAGGGTAGGGCTTTTCAGAATCTGTAGTGAAAATGCATTGTACCTGTGAAAAATCTTCTCAGTTTCATCTATCAATTTATTTGATAATCTATGGATCCTCGAAATTGTTGTATTATACTCAGGTGATCGTTAAGGCCCCTAATTATTAGGCCTCTTGTTTTTTATCTTTGAAAACTTTTTTTAGATATGGAAATAAAAACAAACAAACACACAAGAGTCACAAGACACACCCTTGTTAAAAATATAGTTAATCTGATAAATACACGTACATTGTATGTGAAAAGTAAAACTATATAATGGTTAAAAGAAATCTTTATAATGTTCACGCAGAATGTGCGTAATGTTTTTCAAGACAAGCGCTTGGAAAACGGCAGAGTTTTAGACAAATAATGATTGTATGCCAAAATCTGGGTTATAATATGTAAGCTTATGTTTGAGGTCCAAGTTCAAGTTCATTTATTCTCTCAAAACCATTTAAAATACATGGTACATGAGGACAATGAAAAATATTTACAGCATAAATATATTCAGGTCAGAGGTATAAGTTAATGATATACATAATCAGAAAATGGCAATGTGGGAAAAAGATAAAAGAGAAAAAAACACGTATGATACGTGTAAAAATGAAATAAATGAGGAGAAAAAATTATGGAGGACAGACTAAATCATATATTTTTATTATAAACATACAAAGTTTTTTAAGTGACATTGCATCTTGTTTTGTCATCAGTTGGGAAAATTTCAAAATATTTGGTCTAGTAAAGTAATATTCATTAATATACTTTTTCCTAACATTTGACAGTGCATTACATTCAAGTTTAAAATGGAATTCATCAGCAACATGTTTAGCATTACAATGTGTATATAATCTTTCATTTAATGGTATACATGCCCATCTTCCCAGCTCAACTGGTAGACGGTGATTAGTAGTTCGGAATTTGACAAGTATTTTTCTAAATTTTGATGATAAAATATTTAAATAATTTTCACACGCAAAATAATTTGTTTTAAAAGTTTTATACAAAGTGCCTTTAGAAGAACTATTAATATCAGAATGCCATTTTTGTATAGATTGATCTTGTAATCTTTGTTTAACAACAGAAGTAACCCAGTCTTGATTAGGATTACAATAAAATTGTTCATTCCAAATATGAGATAGACCACATGAGTCAAAAATACGATGAGGAAAGTCAATCCAAGGATTCTTACCTATATATTTCAGATTGTGAGTTAGCAATTAAATATTGATATAATATACATGAAATTTTCTTATCTGTGCTATTCATTAACTTACACCAGAATGAGACTATTCTTGAATAAATAAGAACAGATAGTGGGAAACGCCCTGTTTCACCATAAACCATATAATTCGGGGTATTACTTTTCAAGTACAGAATATGTTTCAAAAATTTTAAATGAACACGTTCAATAATATCTAGTTTTTCAAAACCCCAGATTTCACAGCCATAAAGTAACACTGGTAAAACCATTTTATCGAACAAATCAAGTTGACATTCTACAGGGAGGTTAAATTCTCTTATTTTTCTGATAAGATCATACATTGCCTTTTGGGCTTGCTCACAGAAATGTTTCTTGGCTTTAAAAGAAGAGCCAGATCATGAGAAAATGATACCAAGATATTTAAATTCTTTGACAGTTTCGAGACTCTTGTTATTATAGTAAAATACCCTTTTGTTTAAGGGACCTTTTGAAAAAATTAATATTTTAGTTTTCTCAATATTTACTTGTAATTTCCACTCTGAGCAGTAGCTTTCAAATTCATTCAAAGCATTTTGTAAATCATCTGGAGTTTCTGCTAAAATGACAGTATCATCGGCATATAAAAGTATAAGAAGTTTCAAATACACACATAAGTCATTTTCTATAGAAGTAGTAAGACTTTGTAAACCAATTATATTTCTATCAACAAGATAATTCTCTAGGTCATTAATACAATGAAAATAAAAAAGGAGATAAGTTTTCACCCTGTCGGACTCCGACATTACAAAAGAAAAAATCGCTTGTTGTACCGTTCATCTTTATAAGTGATTTAATTCCCTGATACATATTTGTAATATACGTAAAGCATTTGCCTTTAATTCCATAATTTAAAAGTTTACTCCAGAGACCGTTTCTCCAAACAGTGTCAAACGCTTGCATGAAATCTATAAAAGCACAATTTTAACTTGAAAACATCTGATAAGTAAACGAAAGGATAAAGATTTTCATTTAATTCTGAAATTCTGTTTCATTTCATTCGTAAAAGCTTAGCAGAAGTTATGGACAGTGCCATGATCAGTTAGTGAAGAAATCTGTTTGATTCAACTTAATAAATAAATAAGTAAATAAAGCGCATCGGACATCTATACAATAACTTCATTTGCGAAAACATATTGATTTAATTTTCGTATAAAATTGTTCATGTATTTCGCGAAAACCGCGAAACCTTTGCATTATTTAACGCATAACTTTCGAGTTATAAAGCGGAACTTTTGCGATTATAATAAACGTGTTCTAAACATTTGCTGTAAAACCGAGACATTTGCACAAGTTTTTAAATTCTCTTTTTACCCGTTACATTGTGTCTTTCTCAACGCTGTTCAGTCTATGCAAGTTTTTCAAAAGTAAAAAGGTATATTAATTATTATAAATTTCGGGGGAAAGATTAAAAAAAAAGTTTTGAAAAACGTGACAAGCGGAGATCTCCCTGAGAAAGAAATCAGTCTAAAGAATCTCTACGATTCTATAAATGAAAAAAAATATTTAAAGAAATATTCATTTTATCTATTAGTAGGGTTTTGAAAAAAAGTGCAAAATTCTTTATACTAATCTGTTCTATATTCTTGCATATAATTTCTCTTTTACATCATCTGAGCAATGTCAATAATAAATCGATAGAAGTTCCCGTCTACGTTCATGTTTCTCATCTGTCAGTCAATTAATACCCTGGAGCAGAGGAGAAGATTTTTAAAACAAAAATGCATTATCATGATATAATCAATTGAGCCCAGCCCTAACACCAGAACCCTTGGGCCATGAAATTTCACATTTTTGTATAAGGCATCCTTGCTTATCATAACTATGTAGTCAGTTTGTTTAACATCTAGGAGTAGAGAGGAAGATTTTCAAAGAATTGGTGCATTTTCACTATATAATCAATAGAGCCCCATCCTAACACCAGAACCCCTGACCTAGGGGCCATGAAATTGACAATTTTAAAAAGAAGCATCCTTGCTCATCATTAGTATGTAATCAATTACTTTTTTAAATACCAAGGAGCAGAGGAAATGATTTTTAAGGAATAATGCATTATTACTATATAGTCAACAGAGCCCCATCCTAGCACCAGAACCCCTGACCTTGGTGCCATGAATGTCACAATTTAGGTAGAAGGCTCCATGCTTATTACAATCAAGCTAACAGTTTGACTGATTAATGTCCAGATGTAAACAAGATTTTTGCATTAATTTTGATAGTTTTGGCACAACCCCTCAGGCCCAAGGAAGGGTATTCACCTCATACTTCCAAGGCATGGCATAGCACAAAATGCAACCAGAAAGGAGAAAAAACAATGGACTAGACCAGGATTTGAACTCCTGAATTTTCAGTTAATAAGTGCTTTACCAACTAAGGTTCATCTGGCCACCCACAAATAAACTGCCACACTGCTCACTGATTATAGGATTGCTGTTATTCTTACATCTATGATTAAATACAACAATACATGTACACTGTATTACCAACAAACATTCATATTTCAAAACATGAGCCATCTCTTAAAAAGGAGCAACTTCTGAGAACATGAGTTAGCAGGAAAACAATTTTGTTGCCTCCCAGAAGAAAATGATAAAAAGAATTAAAATAAGTCTCATAAAAATTCAGCAAATTTCTTTCATTCATCGCGTAGATATTGTACATATCTGTACTATTAGAATAACGCTAAACAGTCTTAAAATAAAGGCATCATTATACATTACTATTTTTTTATTGAGAAATTTTATAAACATTATCTAATAATATCACAGATAAACAAAACAACTACACATACAATACAATAATAAACAAGAGATGTTTGTAAAACACTTATGCCCCCCTCCCCCCAATTGGAATTTTTTTGCAAGTCCAAGGGGGATTAAACAACAGTTTTGAAAAATGACACGATTGTACCCAAAGCAGAACTTGA